CAGGATTATACACAGCAGACTCAAGGACCTGGGGATTTTTCACAACAATATCCACATGGTCATGGACATCGAGGACATGGTACACATGGGCATGAACAGCATGGGCACAATGATGGAGATCAGGATTATACACAGCAGACTCAAGGACCTGGGGATTTTTCACAACAATATCCACATGGTCATGGACATCGGGGACATGGTACACATGGGCATGAACAGCATGGGCATAATGATGGAGATTTTAATTCCAATCAACAAGGCCAATTGAATTATTCTCAACAGGATTTTGGAGGAAATTGGCAATTGGGACAGCAACGACAACAGGTTCAACAGACAGGAGGTATCGACTTTGGTCAACAAACAGAAGATTTGAGCCGGCAAACAGGGAACCTCAATATTGGGAATCAGCAAAGCGATTTAAGTCAACAGACTCAATCCTTCGACGACTGGACTCAACAAACAACTGGAAATCTCGGCTTTGGCCAGCAACAAAGTGGAAGCCTTCAAGAAGGAAATTCTGGCGGTTATGGAGACTACAATCAACACACTCACTCCTTCGGTGAATTGAATCAACAAACAACTGGAGATTTTGGGTTTGGACGGCAAGAAACAGGAAACCTCGAATTTGGGAATCAACGTGGGAATTCTGGTCAGTACAGAGACTTTGGACAACAAACAAGCGGAAGTCTTGACTTTGGCCAGCAAACCGAAGACTTGAGTCAACAGACTCAGTCATTCGGGGATTTCGGTCAGCAAACAACCGGAAACCTTGGCTTCGGTCAGCAAACCGAAGATTTGAGTCAACAGACTCAATCATTCGGCGGCTTGACTCAGCAAACAAGCGGAAGTCTTGACTTTGGCCAGCAAACCGAAGACTTGAGTCAACAGACTCAGTCATTCGGGGATTTCGGTCAGCAAACAACCGGAAACCTTGGCTTCGGTCAACAAACCGAAGACTTGAGTCAGCAGACTCAATCATTCGGAGATTTCGATCAGCAAACAACCGGAAACCATGGCTTCGGTCAACAAACCGAAGACTTGAGTCAACAGACTCAATCATTCGGCGATTTCACCCAACAAACAACCGGAGATTCTGACTGGGAGCCATCGCAAAAGGGTAAACTCGAGTTGGGTGACCAGCATCAAGATTGGGATCAACAAATTCAATCATTTCCTGGTTCAACCCAACAATCGGGTACATTGGAACTCGGCAACGAGCGTCCAGCGCCCAAGCCACCAGCAAGGGGTCGAATCAGGAATGGAGGTCCTACCCCCGCTGCTCAAGACACTCCACTAACTCCAGTTAAAGGTGGGGCAAAACGCCCAGCTCAACAGAATACCTATCCTCAATCATCTCAAAACCCTGACCCTCTCCGCGTGATTCCGATAGAAGATCAATTTCACCAGAGCACCCAGTGGCACAACTCGCATCAACCCGGTGATTTGACAAACGAAAATTACCAACAGGGACCCCTCGAGGGCTCTCAAAAATCACAATCCCCACGAAATGAACAACAAAACTCGACAGATACTGAAATACTGTTTCAGCCTCGTATTCTAGAGGCTTATGGTGGCAATGGCCCCTACGACGTCAACCACAATGACAATATATTCGCTGGGGTCAAACCCAATCCAACAGCAACACTCTCACCAATGTCTGACTCTTGGGATATTCAAGAAAAACCTAATGAACTAGCTCGCAGAAATAATAATTATCCCACATTTGCAGGAGCACCTGATCGAACACCGGGAAATGATTGGGAAGAGACGACACCCGCAACAACGACTGCTGCCCCTGGATTTTGGAAACGAGTTGGAAATAAAATCGCGACGACATACGAAAAAACGAAAGAAAAGATATCCGATACTTTTGGTTAATTCATTTTTCGATTGAGCAGTTAACTTTAAACGTAATAATATTTTCTTTATCGCTTTGATACGGCATGATATAAGTATTATAAAATATATTTAAATGTCATGATACTGCACCGAACCGGTGAAAAAGTTGTCTGTACGATTTTTTTGTATCAAACAAGAATCAAAGCGCACGCATCCTGTTAGGAACTATCCCTTAAGATTTAGTCATACCGGCCTTTCTCATATACATTTGTGCAATTTACAATTCAATTGATTAAACATTTTTTTTTGTCTTCTGTTCTTTGCTTCAAATGTTCCCTGAAACGTCTTATCCGTTCTCCTCTTTAACCGCGTTCTCAAGTTTTACGATCTTTTATTAATAAGGTAATCATTTGCCATCGAAAAAATAATTGAATGTTGATCACTATTTATTATTGGTCGACTAATAATATTATTGTTGGGGACTTACCTCAGGAAGGCCTTTGAACATTCGCACGAAAATCTGTTGGGCTACAGCATCTAAACAAAAAAATATAACCTCCTGGTCAGCCGTTGGTCTTGCGGTGTATTTATATCAATATGAATTTGTACAAACCCATGCCGAATCTCGTCCCCTTCGGTTCAGTGACTTCTGTCATGTTTCAGGATTAAACTAAACGAGAATCACGCAATGACAAATATCATTCATGGATTTACACAATTTTTTTTGAAGAGCGCGAGACGCCGATCAACACTGAATAAACCACAACGATGAATGGCTAAAATACGCGGGCTTTTATTTTGATTTTCAAAATGGGAATCTATAGGGACACCAAACATTAATTTGTAATTGTTTCAGCAATGAATCCCTAAACGGAACTTCCCGTTTTTCTTCCTTTATGTTATTTTTAAAAATAATTCTTGAAAAAAAAAATAGAAGGAGTAGTTGAATCATGGAACGGTCAATGGAATAAAACAACGGATATCATAGAAAATCGGTACCTATTTTATTTGATAGTATCATCGATATTATCATTGTGGAAATAAAAATAAATGAACATAAAAAGCTTAAGTGAACTTGAAAAAAGGGGGTAATGATTTCTAACATTTTTTCTCCTTTAATTTACGACAAATTAACTATAAAATCGTTCAATCGATTTGAAATTACGTGTTCTGCTGAACGAGACTCAACCAATTTTTTCCATCGACACCAACTGAGGATGGTATTCTTATTTGAACCAATCTCACTGGATTCTTACTATCACCCATCAAGTCTTTGTAATCAGCCCCCGTCGATACGACTATCGTTTCACCATCTGCAGGATCGTTATAGCTGTACACTTGTTCACCATCTTCACTCGTTTTACATTGGATTACTTCGCCCTCAGTAAAGGTCATCTGAAAATTGAAAAAAAAAATCAAAGTTGAATTATTTTTATTCACTGATTCGCGATGTATAAATGCATCGTAAAAATGATAATTGACATGGATAAATAAATGACTGAGTTGAAAAAATCGTTACAATTGATCAAAAAAATTGATTATACCTGACTATCGACAACCATGTGCTGCACTGCTCCCTCCTCTATGCCCTCTCCATCAGTAATGTCCAAAACACTTTCCTCCTGATAGATATTATCGTTTCCATGAATAATTACATGGTCCTTGAGATCAGTTACGTACAACTCAGTCTCTCCAAGTTCATCAGCGTTTTCTTCCATCAGTAATTCAACACCTCCACCAGGAAGGATGACCTGATCCTCCTCAGTCGTCAGTCTTGGCTGATTGACAACAATTGTGTCATTCAAGTGGCCTTGAGATTGCATATGGGCGTAAAGAAGAGGTTTTCGCATGAATCCCATGCCACAAACGAGACACTCGTAAGGCTTCTTGTCGCTGTGAATGAACCTGTGGGCATTTCTATTATCTCGACTGTTGAACGCCTTTCCGCATACCTCGCACAGATAAGGTTTTTCCCCAGTATGAATTCTCATATGTTTCTTGAAATGCTCTGGATAAACAAATGTCGCCGAACAAGTTTCACACTTGTACGGTCTTTCTCCAGTGTGAGCAGCTTTTATGTGATAATCCAGAAGTCTACGTCTCTTGAAGCCCTTTCCGCAGTCATCGCACTTATACCTTTTGTCATTGTAATGGGTCGCTCGTTTGTGTGATTGTAAATTAGATCGTTGACTGAATGTGGCACCGCAAAATTCACATTGATAGGGCTTCTCACCGGTGTGTGTTCTTTCATGATCTCGAATTTCTGCTTTTCGTGCAAATGCTTTTCCACACATTTTACAAATGTAAGGCTTGTAACCAGTATGAACGATGTTGTGGACCTCGAGATTATGCGGCGAGCCAAATGCTTTTCCGCATTGATGACAGACATATTCCTTGACTCCCAGATGAGTTTTTTCATGCTGATTGAGATTCTGCTGGCTGAGGAAAGTTTTGCTGCACTGGGTACATTCGAAAGGTCTTGGTCGAACTTCGTGGGTCTTAACATGCGCCTTGAACGTATACTTTGACGCGAAATCCTTGCCACAGGTCTCACAAATATACGGCCTTACACCAATGTGAGTATTAACATGCTCATCGAGAAGATTTCTGGAGCTGTAACGTTTGCCGCATGTCTCGCAAGGCCACGATTTCACTTGAGGATAGTGTATTCTCCGATGAATCCTGAATAGTCTTAAATTACTGAATATTCTGTTGCAAACTTCACATTGAAAATCACCCTCCTCTTTTGCAACGTGATCGTCGAGATGAATCGATAATTCGTTCCTTTTTCGAAAGTCAAGCCCACAAATGTCACAGATGTATAGTCGGGCCTCGTGAATCGACTTCATGTGAGCCACTATTTCTTTAGCATCTCCAGTCATCGGTTCATCCGTATCTTTGGGACACAGAAGACACGTATAGGTGTCTTCAACTTTGGATACAATCGGCTCTTGAGGTTCTTCCCTGACAGTTCCCCTTAGTCGCTTTGTTTCCTTTTTCCTCTTCTCCTCGAGCTGCGCCGTTTTTGATGAGTCAGATTCCTCTTCAAATTTGATGCTGATTGATTCATCCAGGTATACTTCCGTCATTTTTGTCTGCTCCGCATGATCGGTATTGAGATCCTCTTGTAAATATTGCTCATCCAAATGCTCCTCCATAGTGGTATCTAGGGCATCCTTAATCTCTGTGATTTCCGTTTTAGGATCATTCTTAATTTCCTTCTCTTCGGGTTCTGCCTCCTCAACAATGTGATGCTCAACTCCATCCAAATAATCATGATCATTACATTCATCTCCAGCACTATTCGATTCCGAGACTTGTTTCAGAGTTTTTTGATAATCACTCATGATCTCTTCCTTGATCTGCATCATCTTGGCCTGCAACACCTCAAACTGAAGCCAAATATCAAAATGATAGTCTCACCCAAATAAAACAGTAAACATCACACCAATGAGGAATAAAACTCACCTCTTGACACAATTTTAAACATTTCTCACACAAAATAACTGAATGTGCATTATCAGCTGTAATCTCGGTATCAAGTAAACAGCATATGGTCTCAGCAAGTGGTTTATCACTGCCATTCCCATCATCGCTGAAAATCTTGACACAATTCTTGAGTGATAGGGCGATCTTGTCATTGCATATCAGACAGTTGTTGGAATCATTGGAATCATTGGAATCTCTCTCAGCATCGCTCGTCATCTTTCCAGATTCTGATCAATGAAAAAAAAAAAAGATCCCTGAGCTAAGTAAGAAGGCTTGAATAATCCACCTACATTCAATAAAATCATACAATAAGTATGATTGTGTCACGAATACCCAATTCATAATCAATTCAAATGTCCCGAAAAATTCGATCCTCTCCCAAAACAGTCTACCCAACTCATTAACAAATATTAAGTAGTGTATGAGAATTGAATGGTCTGGCGTAATGGACACCTTGCAATCTCAATTCTGCAAAACCCCCCTGGAATGTTCGGTGTTCAACAATAGAACAATCCAAATGACTTTATATTCAGTGATAATATTTTTTTTTCTCGAAACAATGCAACGAAAGTTGTGAAATTATCCAGAGTGCAAACATTAAATAACAAAAAAGTTGTCAGCACTGACTTGAAGTATTTTAGCCTTTGTAAATTTGGAGTATTGGCAGCGGCGATCCAAGGTAAGCACTACCACAAAGCACAAACAGGGGCAACGACTAAATTCTGGGTAGTACCAACGCCATTTACGTTTTATACCCCCTCTGTACCCCTTCGCTTATGTACTACTACCAGTGAGAGAGAAATTACAGACACTCGTTATTCTACTGTACCTCAATCTCACGTACGATCATTTGTTTTTCGGTGTTGGTGACTACCAATCCGTCGAGGTGATTTTCTTGTGTTTGGCCACGTTGGTAAATGAGTGGTTTTCCACACTCAAATAGAAACACCGGAAACTTGAATTTACTTGAATGTATGAGTGGCAAGCCGTTATGAGACGTATGAGTTAGACTCTTTGAAAAAGGACTTCTGTCTTTCTCTTTCACTTGGCGCATGCTCAGAGCTGAAAATCACCTGGGGAATTTTCCATTCCAAAAATTTAAAAAAAAAATTCATCTTGGGTATCAATTCGTTGCATTATTAGGTTCTTCGGTCAGTAAGAACAAGTAATGATGTCTGGATTTATGTTTTTTAACTTTTTTTTTCACGTCTCTATTTCGATGATTTCCCAGGCGGTGCTGCCCCCCAAGTGCCGAAATGAATTCCAGCCGACGGATTTCTAATGGACGGTAGAGTTGTTCTTAAGTTGATACATGAGAACTTGTCCGAATATCCCGAGAATCCCCTAGGTCTCATGTTTTTTTTCTCTCCCCTTCTCTGTTGCTCTCAAGTTTGTGTCCCTTGGATGAAAATTATGAGAGGAATTCCAAAGGGGGTGACCGACGATCCTGACGATCGTAAACGTGAGGCGTGTCGGCGTCTGTTTTTCATTTTTTCATTGTAATTATGAAAGTGACATGAATTGTTCTTGGTCGCTCCCAGGGATGTTGGCGGGATTATTTGTGGGATATTAGTTGGGGTGGGAGGATTTTAAGATGGTTTGTGGTGAAAGGTAATTTGGTTTTCGTGTTGAAAGCTACATGAGGGGAAGCAAGATCGTAAAACTCGAGCAGTTGAGCATACACTATGCCAGGAAGGTGTTTGACCTGGTGGAGCAGCAGCTGACGAGAATTTCCAATTGTTTTCAGTTGGTGAAATGAGGGATATGTGAAATGATATGATTATCTAGTTTTGTCATGTCAGTACGTGAATACGTGGTTTGTCCTGAGCTTCGGGGGTATGTTTTGGGGTAATTTTCGGTAGCCAATGCTGTGGTATGGAGACAGAGAGCATAAAGTCAGGGGCTAGCGAGCATAGCCACAGCCACCACAGTAGGAGTTCATCCAAACATTATCGTTCACATAGCAATAAAACACAGCATCATAGACAGCATTCCCATCGTAATTCCAGGTAATTATCTTCTCGGAAATCATAGCTCATATCGACAATTCTAATTTTTCTATCGGTATAGTTATGGTTGCTAATCGATTATCAATGCACATTTGAATGGACTTATAATTCTCATTACTATATTATTTGTGCGTTTTGTAATTATTGTATATTTGAATTCAATTTCGGCACGGTTACTCCGGAATAAATATAGCTAACTGAATCTCGATCAGAATATTTTCTCCGTGTTGATGAACTTGATTATTTAAACCGACTCTAATGCCCATAAATTTTGTCCCAAAGTAGGAATAGCAGAAGTCAACGGAAAGAAAGACCGACCTTCGACTCCTGCGAAATGGCGCCATTTCAAACAACCGTAAATGTTCGTGTGAATAGTGTAGAAAATGTGGGACAAGAAGTTATTGAAGTACAAATCCTTCCTCAGGATGAGAATTGGGGTGAGAACACAACAGCGGTCACTGGAAATACATCGGATCGTTCGGAATCAACGGAAGATGTCAGTCACTGGCCGATTGAAACGGATGGGGCGTTTAATTTCACATGTAATAGATATTTAGCACCAGTTGTTGCTGCAGCCCTCGGTGCCGGTGCCTTTTTGAGCCCAATTGCAATGGTTGTACTGCCAAAATTGGGCTTTTTCCCAGATTCATCAACGGTACTAACAATGCAACAGAGACTTCAACTTCTATCGTGTAATGCTGAATGTAAAGGACAATTACTCGGTTTGGCATTTAAATTAGTATTACTGGCTATTGGAAGCTGGGCGATTTTTCTGCGGCCTAGAAATGCAACAATGCCTAGAGTATTTTTATTCAGGGCTGGAGTACTTGTATTGACGTTACTCTGCATTTGCTCTTATTGGCTATTCTACGTTGTGCAGGTGAGTTCTACGTCTGGAATATTGATTTCAAGTAGATCCTAGATGATAGGGTGAACAGTAATTCCATTATTAGTGATAATTGTTCTATATCTGAACCAGACGTTTGAAAGTTAATGACGGATGAGAGCGAATGATAATTGAATTTCATGACTCAAAGAAAATTGAATATCCCAAGATTCCTAATAATGTCTTTACTTTCTTGATTTTTTAACTATGAAGAGATCGGTGATATTTTGGCAGGAGCTCGACGCAAAAATGTCTGAGACATTATTCTTATTTAAACGGATTTATTTCCAAGAGATCATCTCTATTGAATTTTCTTATGCAAATTCAGTGCTCTGCGTTAATTGCCTCCGGTAAAATCCAACAAAGAATCAATTATATTTTGAGTCATCCACTGGGATATTGTAAACCGACAAAAAATTTTTCCCAGATATTTGTCTATGAATAGAATTAACCATGTATTTATAGAAAGTTGATGATGCCACAAATATTGAACTTATATCAAAAGCATTATGTCTTGAAATAACGTCGACTTTCTAATTCCAGGTGACCGAAAGTGCAAAAACCGCCGCTAATGGTGAGATAACAGAGTACAAAAGTTTAGTTAATTATGCTGGGACTTTCGTGGACACTCTTCTCTTCATCCATTACATCGCAGTCCTCTTAATTGAAATACGTCACCGGCAGCCGACATTTTATATTAAAGTAGTGAGATCGCCAGACGGAGAGTCACGATCCTATGCAATAGGTGACTTGTCAATTCAGCGTGCAGCAGTATGGGTGTTAGAGAAATATTATACTGAATTTCCAGTATACAATCCGTATTTGGATCGTCTACCAGTGTCTAAATCCGGTCGTAAGCAATCGAGTTTCAAGTTTTATGACGTGGATGGTGGAGTCAATACAAATATTCCACCAACTCCTCAACGAGGGGGTGGAGACAGAGCTGTATTGGCTGCCCAGGCGCGTAGAAGGGACTCAAGTCACAATGAGAGATTCTACGAGGAGCACGATTATGAGAGAAGAGTTAAGAAGAGAAGAGCAAGACTGATAACAGCAGCAGAAGAGGCATTCGCTCACATTAAGAGATTACACTCGGAGGCTGAATTGGCACCAAATCCTGGCCCAATGGATCCTATGGAAGCCGCACAAGCTGTATTTCCATCAATGGCTCGTGCCCTGCAAAAATATCTCAGGGTAACGAGACAACAGCCGAGGCATTCAGTGGAATCGATTCTCGGGCGTCTCGCGAGATGTTTGGCACAGGATGCTGCACCCAAGGCATTTCTCGAGCCTTTTTTCACTGCTAGCCCCGTCTTGTCTAACGAGAAAGAACGTCAGAGGAAGTCACATCATTGGGCACTCGTTTGTGAAGGTGAACTACCATCGAGGTCGTTGTCGCAGGGGTGTGAATTTCAATTGCGACAAGGGGAGGTTGCATTGCTCTGCACTGCGTACAGATTGCCACATTTCAGCTTGACGGAGCAGCTTGCGCATCCTAAATCTAACAAATTCCTTCTCAGGCTCAATTCGGAGACATCAGTTTGAGGGAATTAGCTGTGCAGTTGTGGAGTTGCAGCAGTAAGATGGATGCAGACAATTTTAATATTATTTCTCGCAGATAAACTCGACGGGTTTACTCGGTAGATGTGGAAGGTTTTATAAATGGACAAACCGGTAATTATTGTTTAGTATTAATTACATATAACTGCCGTGTTTCATGATAGAGCGCGAACTATCGATGCCGTACTCTGCCTTTGATATATGTACAATCGGATACATATAATGTAACTCTAATTTTTGCTACAAAGGGGAGGAAAATTGAGATTGAAATGCACAGACTAGTACAGGAAGAGAATATTTTTTCAATAAGCCGCTGTACGTTTAAATAATTATTATTCATAGCTGAATATTTATATTGACTGTAAGGAGAATTTTTTGCAAACATGCAGCTACATTCCAAGTGGAAAACAAACTGAAATAATAATTATGAGAAGCTATATGGATTAATTATCTATGAAATATCTGTTAGAGCACAAAAGAGCGCTTGGTGTATGTAACTGCCAAAGTATTTCAGCAGCAAACTGATTATATTCATGGAGATTTACATATTATTTTAATGAGAGAAATTAATACAACTGCCTAACGCATATTGTTCTAAAGTTTAAAATATTTCTCGAGTACTTTATATTTACATATCAAGGCTTCACTGATTAAATGCTTTTGTATATAATTTTAAAGACTGTAAAACAATAATTTTACAAGACAGAGTGAAGGATTTTTTCATTGGAAGTAACGAATATTGAGGATTTCTTATCTTCCACTAGAGTGCTGTGAAAGAACTGTGGACTTACAATAAGTCGATTTCAGTTGAGCATCGGGTTTGTAAAATATCTGACAATCCGCAGAAAACGGCACATTTTGTTAGGCGATGTATAATTTGTAATGATTTTTTTATTCAAATAGCCATATCTTATTTCACCACTTTTACGCAAGGATAAATTACGATCTAATGAAGGTGCGTGAAGCCTTAATAACGTACTATTAATATTCTTTTGAATCCACAATGAATTGTTTCAATTCATCAGTAAATCATTCGCTTCCCGATCGAATGCAATGTAGCTTTTTAACAATCATTTTAATTCTAAGCGTTTTATAAAGAATATCTTTTTCATCATTATTTATGTGTGAGCATGACATGACAGCTGTAAGCATCATTCATTCAATCGTAAATTAAGTTTATATTATTGTAAAGTGAGAAGAACCTTTGGAAGTTGATCTCTGGCAATTGTTTGTACTTAGAACTGGAATAAAAATATAAAAACCAAACAATTAATATCTCCAGCGCATTTGTACAGGATTAACTGTTTAAATGTGTAAAGGGAAGAAATGTCAAGTGTGGAGTGAATAAAAATTTTACGAGTGTAATGCATTGTCTATTTTTTCAATTTGTTTATTTGATAACACTTGCATACATGAACTGCGCATGGGAAATGCGCAATTGTTCATGGATGTGTTAATAAATGGGAGCCGTCCGATCGACTTTTTGAGTAGTGCACATGTGTGTTACAAAAAAGCCAACATAAATCGAGACACATTCAAATGCAACATGTCTCATATTGATTCACTTTAATTTTGTACATTCACGTGAATAAATCAACTCTCGTCTGTCTCCCGGTGCGATTGGCAAATTAAATTATAAAGTAGATTGGAAACTCGGAAATTAAATTTTCAGTATGAATTATCCATGGAAATAGGAAAGCCAGCTAAATTTCAAAAATTATAATTCGCTGCTGAATGCCAAAGTTACAGAATGATTAGTAACAATTACTGACAATTATTTATAGGAAACCTAATTGGTGTTGCACCGATCGTAAAATTGAATTCAATCAGCTGAGGTGAGAATTACTCCAACGCGAATTCTGGGTTTCTGTTATTTCTGGTAATAATTATTATCAATTTTTAACATAAATTCTTTTTTTTTCAGTAACATCTCAGTAAAACAGCCAGAATGTGGGAAAATGGGTTAGGTACAGTACTCATTCCAACCGTTTCTACAATGATTATTTATGTGATAACACTGAATCTCGTGAGGTATCTGATGAAGGATTCACACATTCCAATTAGAGACGTTTCCAAGAATCATAACTGGAAGAACATCGATAGAGGAAGTAATAAGGTATTTTTTTGTTTTTTTAAGTGACAGGTGGTACACCAAAAATTACATATTCTTATAATTTATTAGTCATCCTGATTGACAGTCGGACGAAAGAAAATTATCTGTCAAATGCGTGCATAAATATTCTCTATAAAAAAAATCTGTGAACCGGACGTCCACGTCACCCAGTGAAATGCGTTATCATGGAAGGAATAATTTATTCAAAAAGTCTAGAAGTTTTCAACTGTTTTTCATTTCCTTTGTGTGGAGTATATTGTTATCTTCAATTCAATTCAATCCTATACTCACAGAATTGCGCATTGCAGTGAGAATTAGAATATATTCGTATTGGAGTCCGAAAATGTATCGTTTTGGATGGATTTTCCCATTAAAAGGTCCTCCGTAGTACATTCCCCTTGACAGATAGCTTACGTGACATTTTCTTCAAAGGCATACTACTGCAGCATCTGCGAATCACTCCTCATTAGCATGGATGGCATTTTGTGTGACTCCTGTGGAGTTTGTGCCGATCAAGGTTGCATAAAATTAGCTGATAAGAGGCTAAAGTGCAAGGCAATAACGTTATCCAACGATCAGCCGATGTTACACCACTGGATTAAGGGTACAACAATTTTTCATTTTGTATGTAATCATGTGCGTATTGAGACGAATGCATTCGATAACTCGTGAGATTAATCGAACTATTTTTCAATTTTCACAAGGAAATCTCCCTGCACTTGCCATATGCGAAATTTGTCAAGAAGAATGTAGTGCAGAGCCTGGACTAATTGACTGGTCTTGCTGTTGGTGTCAAAGATATACTCATGAAAATTGCAAATCCAAGATGGATGAGGTAGTTGAAAGTTAATTATTTCAACTGACTTATAAAATAGGCATGGGATATTGGAGTGGTTGGGTGTGAATATTAATGAGAATTTGGAATCGAATCAATTTATTTAATCATGCTTTTCAAAAATTCACTTACGATAATTAATGATGAGAATAATTAATTTGTTAATGTCATTCAGACAAGGTTCTGACATAAATCATTTTTTACCACAGATATGCGATTTCGGCAAGTTTAAACCCATGATAATACCGCCGTATAGTCTGGAGGTTGTAAACAGGCGGAGAGCAGTACGCAAACGTCTTCAATTACGTTCGATTATTCCGCCGATATGGCCGAATTGGAAACCCCTCATCGTCGTTGGTGAATCCAAGATATTTTAATAATTGAATCGTTCTTTGTCTCTTTTGTACTAATTTTCAATATTGCAGCGAATAAAAAATCGGGAAATAATGATGGAGCGGAGATACTCTCTCTATTTCGTCGATTGCTGAATCCTGCACAAGTTGTCGATCTTTCGGATCGAGATCCAGTGGCTGCCCTCGAGTGGTGTCGTTTACTCGGAAATACTCCATGTAATGTTCTCGTGGCTGGAGGTGATGGAACTGTGGCTTGGCTTCTGAATTCCATCCATAAGTTAAAATTAAAGGTGATCTTCATATATTTATTAAGAAATAATCATTATTTAAAAATAATCCCAGAGTGAAATATTTGAAAAGATCATTTCATACATAAATTCATATTTTGTCGCGTTTTTTAATGTAACTTGTTCTAATGGAGTTGAATCGAAATCATTCTGATATTCAATTATACATTTCGTCAGCCATGTTTCAGGTCAATCAACGCAGTTATACTTAATATTATTCTTTTAGCCAATTCCATCAGTAGCAATATTGCCGCTGGGCACAGGAAACGACTTATCTCGTGTCATGGGTTGGGGAAAGGAGCACGACTCAAATTTTGATCCGACGGATATTTTGCAACGCATCCAGACGGCCCATTCGGTTCAGCTGGACAGGTATACGAGATTTTTTTTCCTCATTCACTCCATTGATTGATGGGTGATTTATTGAATGGATGAGAAGGATCCATGTGTAAATGAATCTTACAGGTGGGCGGTTACAACGAAATGCGATACTCGTAGTCTCGGCTTTCGTGGCGCACAACAGAGGATGTTCATGTATAACTATATGAGCGTCGGCGTTGATGCTCAAGTAGCTTTGAATTTCCATCGAACAAGAGAGAGCAGGTTTTATCTATTTAGCCACAGGATATTCAATAAGGTAGGTCTAATGAATTCAACTGTCGAGTGCAACGCGAATAATTTACAATACCCAGAAGATAATAAAATTCGACTAAGCATAGACGAAGAATTCGATTTTGTGTAAATGAATATCTCACATTAATATAGAATTGTTCATTTTTTTTTAATCACAGTGAAAATGAATTTTTATTGAGAATTTTCTACATTGTTACCTGAAATATATTTGCATCAAAGGAAGAGAGGAGAATTTTCCCAAGTACTTTTGTACCCCGGTAATATTATCCCGTAGAGAAAGGAGAGGAGTCCTTGCTCTAGGATATTCAGGAAAATAAACTGAGAGCAAAATGGTCGTGTCTCGTATTTCAGCTTCACTGTTGTCTTATGCATTAATTTATTGATTCTCAGTTATTGTACCTGGGATTTGGTACTCAACAAGTAGTGGAGAGAGAATGCAAAGACCTCGACAAGAGAATCGAAGTCTATCTAGATGGAGAACAAGTTAATCTGCCATCGGCGGAGAGCATTGTGATTTTGAATATTCCATCGTGGGGTGCTGGAGTAAAACTGTGGGAACTGGGACTACAAGGTGAGTAAGCCGCAAAATGATTAATAATTCAAACAGTCACTATCGCAGTGAGATATTCTGTCATTTAATATCAGGCAATGAAGATATTGGTATGCAGAGCATAAATGATGGAAAACTAGAAGTATGCGCTATATATTCGTCATTTCACATTGCTCAATTGCAAGTTGGCCTCTCGCAGCCTCATCGATTGGGTCAAGCTAAAATTGTCAAGGTAATCACTATTTTCCCTTTAATTTCAGCCCCTAAAATTACTCACATTTTACAAATAATTAAAATTCAAACGAGCTCTGTTGAACGACCATGATTACCTGTTTCAATCTGTTAATTCTCCATTATATTGCAGATCAAATTGCTTGACTCTTATGCAGTACAAATTGATGGTGAACCATGGCTACAAAACCCATGTGAATTTGTCATAACCCATTGTGATCATGCTTCCCTGTTGAAGAGTAATCAGAATTAATTATTTTCATCATGGCTGTTGTGTTTTATGAAGTCATTTGGGCTCTTTCCTCTTGATTATGTTGAATATCGTACAAAATTGTTTTATAGCACCAGGGGAGTGAAATTATTATTATTTAAAAATACTATCAATGCTCGTTTTGCTCTACAAAGTGAATTCTGACAGGCATTTAAAAAACTAGTATGTGTTACACGTGTCTGGAAAAGATTCACTTTGCCATAATTACTAGTAACGCGATATATTACAACATAATGTTAGAAAATCGAAGATAATGAGCGCCTACCATAAATTATGTGAAAAGGGCACAGAAATCACTTTATTAATGAGTCAAACGTAATTGTAACAGCCCGGAGAGATATAATTTCCTGGAAATACATGAGATACTTAATGAAGGAGAAATTATTGAAAAACTTGGTTATCGTTTAATGAAAAAAATGCATTTGTAGAAAGTATTAAAAGATCGGGTACAAAACGAAGCATTCGGAATTAAACGACACAGACTGAGCATTTCTTACTTAACTTAAATGAGAAGGCATTTTCCAGTGAGACTTCTGAGATTTTTTTCAATAGACAATGGTAATTGAGAAAGAAAGTAGTACGCTGGACGTCTAATGAAATTTTCCCCTATTTTGATTATTATCAAGAAGAACAGCACAGAATTGTGCGCTATAGGATTAATTTGATTCACTCGATAAAAGCTGCCTCGGTGAATTTCCTATATTTCCATTTGTATGAAACAAAAGACCGTACAAAGAAAGAAATAAAGAAAGCAGAAAAATATGTACGATTGAGCGTTTGGATATTATTATGAATCTGTCCTCTATCTTTTCTTGTGAAGCATTGGATGAATCAAATTTCTTAAACACGAGGAGATCATCGCTATTGACACCGTTGTACCATGACTGAGCGTCAAGCTCGGATTTTGATTATTCTTTTAACAATCTGGCTCATGCATGAATTTTCAAAGGTTATGAAAACTTTAAAACGATGATGGAACACTGATGGATTTACCTATCATCATTTGGGCTGGCATCAAAGAGGGTAATCCTCAGGAATAATGAATTACCGAATTTATCCTGTCCTGTAAATTGAAACCTGAGAATCTCGAGAATCATCAAATATATTATTAAAAAAAAAGTCCTGTAAAATAATTTATACAGATTTACTGGTGAACAGTAAATCGTAAATATATTTGGTAGAAGAAATTTTTTTTCTCGGTGCAGATTGTTGGGTGCATGCACCGAAGTTGGCATCCAACCTCGATGGGATATGATAATCGACAGAATTCTAATACCAGAGAAATCCGGTTCAAACTCGACATGGAGTTCCCTTTGAAGTTTATCAACCTCTACAGCATTGAGTTTTCAGCGGAGATTCAATTCTTTGCACCCTTGGAGACCTAATAACGCAGTGGACGACACATTTTCAACAATGAAATTCAAATTTCGTTTGACCCCGATGTCTCTTTCAGAAAATAAATTCACTTTGCTCACTGGCTGCACTGCAAACTTCCTAAACGATGTCAACATTGTCCTAGGAGGTCGTACTGCCGCATTCAAATCGTAAAATAATTTTTCGTACTCACGTTCACATGCGCTCGGAGTATCTCATTAAATTTTTATAATCCGCCCATTCATCTCTACATCAATAAAATCTTTCATTGCCTTTCCGGTTTTAATCAATTTATTGATCATCAAATGGATTTTTTTTACTTTTGAAAATTTTTTATTGCGTAAAATGGACAAGATCCTCTAATTAAACATTAAATAAAATGAGATATATAACAGTCATCTACTCTTATTACACCGACTCTCACTTCATCTCCCGACGCACCTTCGCAATATCGAAAAAGGTAAATCCCTCGCTCCGGACGTGAAATGTCATTTATCGTCTTCCGTCAAACGACAAATAGATACAAAAAAGTAAAATAAAATCCTACAAACAGGTGGGGGAGTTCACCATGCGTCAACGATTTTTTCTGGTTTCCATATTCTCTTCCATTCCGTTACTTGAGAAACAAAAAAGACTTTTTTCTTTCTAGAAAGTTTAATCGTCCTATCGCGTGACAAGATCCTCGCTTGCACCCCATTTCTGTCTTTATGGTGAACGTTCCGAATTTTTTTTTCTTCCTTTATTCTTAAACTCCCCCTTGAATCTGAACTCCAATATCTCCGTGAAATTTATTTTCCCCAGGGCAATTCGACAGTACTGAACATAAATTATCTCGTAAAATCGTGGAGGAGATAATGAAAGCGCCAATACCATTATAAAGACCATTTTTTTTTCGAGGCAAAACGAAATGGCAAAGAAATACAGTTGAATACGTTGATCGAATAGGCGTGAGTTAGCCAGTGAATTGAAAAGAGGGAAATAAAACGTGTGTCCAATGCATAAAAGCGCTCAAATGAAATTCATTGGACGTTACTACAACGTGTTTCACCTGTAAGTGATTAAATGCACAAATAAAAAAAGGAAAAAAAAAAAATAAAAAAACAAAGAAACAAGTGGCTGACAAATGCTCGAAGCGAAAAAACAAGACACATGGGCTTCGAGAGTTAGGAAAAACATGACAATAAAGTTTGCGCATTCGTCATTTGTCATGTGTTGTCTTCAAACGCATCTCTCAACCGGTGGAGGTGATTTTTCAATTTTTTTTTTCCCCTTCACCACTCCCAGCAACACTTTTACACATCTACATCTACATTAACATAACATAAATCTGCATGTGCATCCGGTCGTGAATGTCCTGAGGGTGTCCTTTGACGCACCATAGACATGATGTGTCGCATGGGAATATCTTCTTGTTTGCTCTTGCACCATTTGCGCAATCGATTGGGTTTCAAGCCCTCACGCATGTACACACACATATATTGCATCCATCCAAACGGCGTGATGTGTCGTATTCATATGCCTATCTGGTGTACAGCCAACGATTATTAATCAACGGATTATCAATGCACAATCTCTGCTCCCCATACTGATTGACCTATCCGCGATCTCTCACATCAGTCACATTAAATCGTTTTTCAGTCGTTAAATTTTCCACATGAACACAAACCAGATGATCTGCACTAATGAAGCCTCGCGGGTATTTTCAGGTGCATTGTGCGATTTAAAATGTTTCCTTTCTGAAGTTAAAACCAAATTGATCGCACTTGTATCGTAGAAGTCTGCCCAGTTGTGGTGGGCCGCAATAAAATACCGTTACTTTCCCCTTCTTACGATCATCCAATTGTTTAAATACTTTGTCCCAGTTGGGCCGACCAGCATTGGTACGTGTTTTCAAGCCAGTTATCAAATCTCTCTTCTCCCTCTCGTGAAGAAGATCCATAGCAAGCTGCAGACCAACAGCTTTCATATCATTTTTCTGCAGTGCGCTCGTTATATACATGTGCATCTCTAAGAATCTCTCCATTGTTGCGCCCAATTCTGCCTGCTCTATTTCAAGTTGTGAGAGAAGATTTACGAACCACTCGAATGAACGTTGGTCACGATTTATCCAGAAGAAATCAACCTTTCAGAACCATGCCAAAAAAAAAAATCGAGTTAAAGAGATGAGGGATTATCGCTAAGAGGAAATGAATAAAGTGATAGGATCGAGGTGGAGTGAGATATATTTTTTTTTCTTTCATTTTACCTCTGTCCTTTGAATGAAATAAAAGTTAATGGCTATTAAGCCTGCCGTTCAAGTACCTTTCTCAGCTTCATGACCGTTGTGGGTATCTCACTTGCCCATGAGAATTGGCACTTGGGGCAGGTGTGCCTTGCCTTCCAGTACCTATGCATTATCGACTGTAGAATAGAAGCAAAAGGCGTGACTCCGATTCCCGTGGCGATTAGTACAGCGTGTTGAGCCTGAAAGATGTGACTCGAGGGCGCACCATAAGGACCATCCAAGAATATCTTCAAACATAAGTGAGGGAATTTTTAATTTCAACAGTATTTCCAAAAAAGCCGTCTCTCTAAGAAATAATTCCTCATGATTCAACTGAGCAGACGAAGAAAGTACAATTCCAGTACAATACTTCTGCACTGTAAACAATTTATATTCCATAATCCATTTATTAGTAGTATTTTGAAAAATAATATAATGCAATATATTTCACATTAAAAAAATTAAACCTCCACAGGAATATTTCGAACTGCTGGCAAGGGACTATAAAGTTTCGAGGGCATAAAAAAGGAATGTGGGGTGGCATTTCCATATATACGGGGACAAAAGATAAATACACATAATAAAACTAAAGAAGAATGGGTCTGGGATAAAATGTCAGAATTTAGGAGTGTAAAGTGTTGGAGAAGTTTTGCAAGTACACCGGTGTGGGAAGAAAATGAAAGATACAGGAGGCGCGAAGTAGAGAATAAGATTGAGAAGATATAAAAAAGTTTACCTCAAGCGGTTTGCCAATAGGATAGTTCATGGAGGGATGAGATGAAAATTGACTCTCAGTGTCCAATGTGTTACTTTTCTTCTGTCCAATTGTGATCGCTTCCTCGATTCTACCTTCTTCAACTGCTAACGCCAGTGTTGGACTTCCAGCAACTCGCTGCTTCATAGCCAACGATGAAGCTGAAGGTACTAAATAATTCAGATATTTCCGACATGATAGCGGATTAAACTGGTTCATCAATAATTTTATTTATCAGCAATTACGAAATTTTCACCCGACAGCACCATGAATATCAAATATCCTACATTTAATTGCAAATTAGTTGATTAACTGTAAACAAACTCTCACAACATTACAAGCTAGGATTATTTGAATAATCGCATTATGTAGCCAACGGAGAGGATCTCCTATCTACTGTCTTCCAAAATACATAAATTAATTTAATGAGAAAAATCATGGAATGATAATGGCTCTATCATTCAAAGTTTATGTGGACGGATTATTTATTGCTTATGTGATACCTGAGTCCGGTGAGCTGTTATAGACGTGATCCTCCATACTCGGGGTTTTGAATGCTATAATTGTTGGTTTTGTTCTCATGTACCGAAAACTCTGGGCAAGCGATTTGTTCTGGGGGCTGAGGTAGGCCAATCCGAGCGATTTCAATCTAGCTCGTCGTATCTGGGCCTCGTCAAAGCTCTTCTCTGACTCCGATCTCATGTAGTCACGAAGACTACCATCAAAGAAAAACACAAACTCTCTGAAGTTGGAGTCATAGTGACCAGGCTATTTAACAAACTGCCCTCGTTTTATATATAATTTAATGGAGTTTGTACAAACACGGCCAAATTGAGTTAAAGTTTTAATGAGGTTCGGATAGACAGCAGAGTGAAAAAACGGTGCTCGTGAAATTGCTACTTGATTCAATTTGAAATGAAGAAAAAAATAACATTTCTTTTTGTTTATCTAAAACTCACGCTTTTACTCGCTCTCTCTTTTTGTGCTTGGTCTGCATGTCAGGCATTGAGAATGACTTCTCCAAAGGCATCTTTCTACCAAGAAGTAGCTGTCTCAGCTTTCTATCTCGTGTAAACGTTCGAGCATCTTGGCAAGTTCCTCCTGAAGGCATGTGAAACTGATGAATGGGTAAATGCTCAACAGTCGAGCAATTAGATTTAACTCCATTTAAACTCTGCGTATGGAGCATTGCATTAATTAATTTTCCAATATTTTCGGTACTGTGTATTTTTTTAATTGGAGATGTGTGTGAATCTGATAAATCTGTGCTTGAAAGATCATGAAATCTCCCTTTTACCATGAAAATATTACGAAAAAATGGGAAGTGGCAGAGATTTTTTATAAAGCAGTGTAGTGGACTGATATTTCAGTTCAAATGAAAATTGTTTCATCAAATGCTATCCACCGGAATTTTTTGAGCCATGACCCGTTTAATTCTGGAAAAAAAAAATAGTCGAACAGAACGTAAAAAAAACGATTTTTAAAATATACAAATAATTGAAGAACTCCATGCATAATTCCGTTTCAATTAGCGTCGATAAATATGGCGTAGTAACGTCGACATCCAGTGAAAAATTTATGAAATTGTCTGAAACTCCTATAATAATATATTTCCAGGTGGTTGGAATGGGATTTTCCACTCGTGTGGAAGTGGCGTCGAAGCCGAAGGCGAGGACTGGTCAACCACACGGACGAAAAAAAAAAGTCCGTCGGAAAAGTCCGGACAATATTTTTCGTAGTGATTTTCCGAAGTTTCCGAGTTTGGAACGTATGGAGTACCAATTCCCAGTCGAGAAATGGTGAGAAGTAAGATGGAGAAGAAAATAGTGAAATAAATTTTGAAAAGTACAGATCCGCATGCATCCACACGAGAAAAATAATAAAAACAAATGTACGATGGAAAGTATTTTAGGCTCGGGAGTAATGAAATTAAAAAGGTAAATTGTATCGCCGTAAAAAAAGATATTGGAAAATATTGGAAAACATCCAACTGTTCATTTCAATTCTCCTTACGTTCAGCAGACAGATGGGATGAGGGTGAGGTGATGCTGGGACTCGAAGAAGTCTTTCCACTGTCCGCAATGAAACGAGGGTTATCGATGCCTCGTGGATCCTCCAGGGAATCCTTCAACGTCTCCTCCATCACGATGACAGTGGATGTTGGTTTGTGTTCAGTTATTCTGTAAAAATGTTCCCATAATACGAGAGCAAACAGTTACAGGGAAATATTTGTGAGGATAATCTGCAGTTAAACTCACAATGATTTTCTCAGTATTTCCGTGGCACAACTCTCGATGGAAATCACTTCACCGCGCTCCAGCTTCTGCTGTTTTCTCTCAAAATATGAATAGAGACTGTTGGTCCATTCTCCAACAGCTCTTATGTGCAGCCACATATATTCTAATAATAATGAGAGAGGAGAATTTCAATTAAAAAATAAAATAATCCACGGAGGCATGAAGAATTCAGACTCATTAAAAGCGAGATAACTAATAAAATTTGCCATTCTCCCTCTGCAACTGCTTTACAAAGTTCCGTATTCTAACAAGTCTTGTTAGATCTGACTTTTTAATTCGTTGACCTCACCCGCATAACTGTGAACTTTTCGATTTTCCCCTGTCCTTCCTCTTCCTTGATACTGCTCTTTCAGTATTAGAAAAAGAAATCTTAACACCTGCCGACTGCTGCTTGAGGATGTACGTTTTCAATCCACCCTTGGGATAAAACTTTTACCCCTTCCCCATTCCCCCCATTCCCCCCATTCCCCCCATCGCCCCATCCCTCACTCTTCATCCAGCTCATCCCTCTCACCCTCGGTTGGTCGTTTTATATCCCCAACACCAAGGTTTTCCTCCGTAGAGAACTTGTAAGAGGGAACTTTTAAAGTGGCATCGCAAGGGTTTTGCCAGTGAAACCCCCGTACACGTGGGAGGCAAAAGGAGAAAAAGTGAAATAGAAAAATTGGCAGAAGAGGGAAAAAAAAAGGACAAACAGTGAACAAGCCAGAATAAAAAAAAATAAAAATCAAAAATACAGACCTTCTTGTTCGGGTGCACTGCTGATGGTGAATGGATGCCACTCGTATTTGGCTATGACTGGTATATTCACAAAGACATAATCCCCCGGATGAAAATCTAAATGCTGAGGCCGTTTGATCACCAGGTGAGTTACTCTTGAAGGCAGTAGTAAGCCCGAACTGATGTACGTTTTACCGCGTTGTGAGCGTAACCACATCAAACGACGCATACGTTCAGCGATATATATCGTACCAGGTATAACAAACCATTTCCAAAAGTTTGGACCGTGGAATATCAGGAGAATCCAGAATGGTATGTACATCAAATGGGACCAGTAGAAAATCTCAAAAGATCCACCGCGTCTGACGAAGGGCATCGAGCAAAGTGACATTACAAACAGAATCATGATCAAGGCAACTCCAGTTGGATTCGCTCCACCACCTACTAATCCAAAAACACCTGGACGACTTGTCAATAGCCACTCTGACATCGAGTAGTGTGAGCTATTCAATATTTCATCGTTGATCACAAATACTCCGAAATTCAGTAGATGAGCAATCGTGTGACAAATACTCAATACTCCAATCGTAACACCCACCATTTTGTGAAGATAAATATTGTGATCGAGGGGTAAAACTGAACTGAAACCGTGAGTTCGTAAAAATGTTATGCACTGACGAAGCATCAGCACAAGAATAATGGTGCAGTCAAAGTTTAAGCACTGACCTGTCGAATAAAATAACAATGAAATAACAATAAAGAGAATATGGGGTAGTGATTATGATTCATTAATTGTCTCAATAACTTACCGCATGCTCTGGCTATCATGACTAAACCACCGGCATCACGATATTCATACATCCTCGAAACGAATAGTGCGAAATTTATGAGAAAAAATATCCACAGGGAACACATGAAAACGTAATTATTTTTCAAATAGGGCTTGGTCAGCTGATATGGCCTCAGTGATCGCAGAAAACCCAATACTGTGCGGTTGGATTGTGCGGGCTTCGGTGGTACCATCCAACGATCTATACTGCATTAAAATTCATTTGTTCAAATCGAGTCTTTAAATAAGCCATGAAAAACGAAGAGATCAAATTGAATGACATGTACCAACGGAATAAAATTAATTATTAAAATTTGTAAGTTATTGGATAATCATAAAGTCGGTATGATAAAAAGTTATATTTTTTCACATCCACTTGATTATCGAGAATAATTCCTCCGAAACGTTGACAATATCTTCGGCATGTGCCCGCCATGATTATCATTCAATGAGTTGAATAATCTGTTTTATTAATATCTGGCGAGAAATGCTCACTGAATATAACGAGTGGATGAAAAATAAAAAATTTCAAACTCTTCTTACGGGAACACCATCAACACTTTAATTTTCCTAATGACAGGCCCCGGTTGTACGATCCCTTGTCAAGGCTTTACTTGGAAGTTCCGTTAATTAGTCTCGATTTACTCCTCGAGTACTGGATTTCACAACTAAATTTTGATTATGAGACTGAGGCCAAGACCAGGCGAGACGCCTGAAGATGGTTTTAGCCGAGTGCAAAAAGGGAAGAGACAGAAATGATAATCATGTTAATCGGAAATTCGAATGGAAGAAATGGAGATGAAGATAAATTTAATTCGTGGATGCTGACGGTTGGAGTCAAGGAAGCCAGAGGAGAGTGGATCGCCTGGGATTGATCGATAACGACCTCTTTCACCCTTGTCTCAGTTGATTCTCGTCTCATCTTACCTGATTGATAGATTCTCGAGGAGACCCTCGTGCTTCTCCAACTGCTTCTTCAATGCAGCGAACGTGATAGCGCCCCTGTTACCCTGATCGGCATCCTCGAAGAGGGCAAGCGTTAAGTCCTCAATCTGTTCGTCACTGAATTTCATACCATTCTCCTCCATACAAGCCCTCATCACGTGCTCGAGTTCACGATGCTGAATCAACCCGTCACCTAGATTATACAGAATGATTCAAGCTATTACTTCACAACGTGTCCACTCGATAATGGTACAGACAAATTGGTGACAAAGCATTCTTCTCCAAATTTCCAATCACACGAAAAATTCAATCCACTCAATATTCCTCGGTGAATATTAAAAGAGTATTCAATCTTGCTGTAATCGACGGTCTGGAGTAACAAAGAAAATCACCATGGATAAACATAAACATTAAATGCATTACCATCGATTATCCTGTGCTGTGCCATATAAGAGGCACGTCGATATACTCAGGTAATATAAAATTCCTCTTACCGTCGATATCGTAGACCTTGAAGAGAAATCGTATTTTGTCGTCCGGAGTTTTACCAGCAAATTGATGCATCGCATCTAGAAACTCCTGGAGTGATATCGTACCAGAGTTGTCCTTGTCGAATATTTGAAAAACTCTCTCGGTGAAGAAGGGCTGGGTGAAAAAAAAAGAAGACATTTAGAATGAAAACGTGTGTGTGTACACTTCAGTTTATCTTCCAGAAGGAGGATGACTTTATTCAAAGATTGTTGCATATGTCTTTTTGCCCCTTCGTTCTTTTTTTTTTCTCCTCTCTACTCTCATGAAGTAAAGCACTAGAGATAACCAAGAATTTACTGCCTCACGTTTTTCGATATAACGATTTTCTTGAACTCCTCGCGACGTATTTCCTGCTCGTTCCCAACTGTCTGCTTGAAGATCTTCTCCAGCCATTCCAGATTGCCTTTATCGAATCCAACTTGTGATCTTTTTTTGTTTCATTCCATGTGCAATTCATGGAAAATGCAATAGAACGTAATGGATGAGAGATTGTCCAATGGCGTTATAAGAATGAGGAAAAATTTGTTAATGAAGTATTAATGGTGGAAAATCTTTATTACCTCGGATTACTTATACCGGCGATGAACTCCATTATTTGGCCGGGGAAAACGTAGCCGAGACTCTCGTGCTCCAGCAGGCTGAATAATTTATCAATCACCTGATATGTGTTCAAATTTTCAATAATTAAAAAAGAAAGAAGAAAATTCTTCAACCGCGTTGATGAAAATGGATCAAAGGTGTTCGACATCTTTTCACTCAGAATCCTCGATTCACCAATTTCTCCGGTAAATTATCGATGGGATTGACGTTAAGAAAATCTGACGTTTTTGCGGTTCGTCATTATTCAATGATTATTTCCTAAATTTTTCTGACGAATCAGAAACCTGGAAATAAAGTGCAAGAAAATTATAGCACCACCGCGAAACTTCACGAGCCATTAAACAATTCCAAACCCCAAGAATGTTATATTTTTTCACGTCAATCCAATCAATAATTTAGAAGAAAATGAATAAAAAGGTGAATTTTCGCAATAATAATAAAACATTCTTAAGGCGCGGATGGACTGTCTGGAAAAGATGATTTACTCCAAAATTGAGACTTCTAATTACTCCGTCAATTAATCGTTTTTTCCGCTAATTGTTAGCTAGCAGCCTAGTTGTTGACAACCGCTAGAACGCTAGCTAACAATTATTGAAAAAAAAACGATTAATTGCCAAAGTAATTAGGAATCCGAATTTCGGAGTAAATTATCTTTTCTAGATAATCCACCCGAGCCTTAACAGAAGAAAAAACAAAATAAATATAAACTCACTCCTTTCGCGAGAAATATTCCTTTGAAGGCATTCACATTGAGAGGCTTCTCCCCACATAGTACATACGCCACACTCTCAATTTGATCAACGAAGTCCGTCTGTTTCTCGTTCCTGACAGTGTGAAAGAAATCCAGGAAAGACCACAATAAAGAATAATCAATGTAGATAAAAATATGAGATACAAACGAATTGATTATGAGATGAGAATTGTCTGATGGTGCACGCACACACGTGATAAATCGGGATGGCGTAAAAGAGAAGAGGACAGGTGTGAAACAGTTGAAGAAATGAGTGAAAAATTGAAAAGACGAGCACAAAAGTAAATGGAGAATGTGATGAATGGATGGGAAAAACAAGAGATAGAGAGTAAAGCGAAATACTCACGTGAGCCTTGCTTTGAGGAATTCAATCCAATCGTCTTGTTTGAGAATACCATTGCAGTCTTGGTCGAACAGTGTAAATAATTTTTCCAACAGTCCCTGCAAATGTTTTGATGGATATAAACAACATAAAGGCAATAGTGAATCATCGGCTTTTGCTCCAGATCCTCGCATTGCCTGTTATGTCTGACACAGTACTTTTAAATGTATATGTATATATATATCATTGTAGTACGACTTACGACTTGGAGATTCTTGGAAGAGTTATACACTTATGTATATCTTATGGAGCTACAGTTTCCTCGAGAAATACGAGAGTGAATTAAATAATTCAAGGTATAAAATTTCATTCATGCCCCCCCCACCCCCCCGACAACTTGAATTTTAATAAAATTCTATGGAATACTGGATCATCTTCATTTCCATTGTAGACTCTTTATTTGAAATATTCGTCGAGGTTAACGTTTTGCTGTCGTTACATTTGAATTGTTAAGAATATTTGGAAAATAATATTTGATTGTGGATCATGAATATTATTTGGTGGATCAGGAAACGGATCCGGTATGGCTGGAAAGCATAAGGGAGTCGATTAATTCTTAATTATTAACATTCTTCCATGTTTAAACGTAGATCAATAAATAAATTGAGGATTCAATTCGTCGACTGATAGAGTGTGATTGCTCATTGCCATTCTCCGAAAAAATATAAAAATGCAAATGCAAGAAATTCGTCAATAACAACGATTTCGTAATAATTCACGAAATGTTACGTAAAAACTCTTGAAAATAACGATTCGTAAAATTCCTCTTAGGTTTTACAGTTGCCAGAAAAATGACGTAACATTTTCTTTTTTTTTCAGTGAGCCGAAAATTATCTGATAATTTTCAGAAAATTTCAGATTTATTTCTCTTGCTCTCGCTTCAGGATTAGGTGTTCCATAATTTTTATTGAATATTTATCACCGTGGAGGATATCGGCAATGGCTCTTTAATCCACATACTACAACACGTATTTACACAATCAATGGAGAAACGGGTCAATGCCATGGCCATGTCCGGCAAGCCAATCTCTGCTCGGTTCTTCGCCCTTTCTCAAAGTGGTATAATCCTTCTTCTTTCCAACACACAAGTAATCTCGACTCTGCAGTTTCCAAACCGTGCACAATCACCTGTCGCTTTATCCACCACTCAAACCAATCGATCTTGTTCTCCAAACGAAAACTCGAGTGAATACTGCAATTACATTTACTCCGAGGCAGTCCAATTATCATTCGATTATCCTGGTTTCACTTTAGTCTACGTATCCCATTTATTAGATTATTCGTCACGAGTGTAAATAAGGATTTCATTTCCAATCCCAATTATTGCTGGCTTAAGACTAACATCCTATTGACACAGATGACAGATCCTAGAAAATCCGGAGAGCTGCAGTGAGAAATGAATAATAATTTTCAAAAATGCTCCCAATAATCCATGAAAATAATAATTCGCGGTATAAAAAAATATATTTTTTTCATCCACCCACATAAAATATATTTTCCCGCAAAAATGCCACACATGCCACAATGATTAGCATATGATATATTTTACCTGCGAGAGATGTGAGCATTTAATTCCCGATCTCTTGAATGCGCGGTAAAGCGTACACAGTAAACGCTTGAGGCGTCAAGGTCTCAATGCCTGAGGCAATTGAGTACCTTGATCAAACAGGACCCCTGAATAGATCGCCCCAGAGCGATTCTCATACCCAATCACGTACACATGCTAGTACCAGTGACTCGCCGAAACTCAAGAACTCGTTGGTGTACCTATCGCTTTAACCTCCGCAAAAGCCAACTCCCGATATACGTGTATGAAGGCAACCAACACAGTCGGGAGATCACGATTCATCGATTATTATTTAACGAGTAAAGCCCGCGGGACTAGTACCTGAAGGGATGGCATGGGGATGGATAAAGGGGGGTGGAGGTTGTACAGCTCGCCAATTGCTCTTCCACTCCTTTACCACTTAACTCTAAACCAACTTGCCTTCGTTATCTAAGACCTCCAATGCTCTTCACTACTTCTATCTTACTCCCTTTACCTATACTTGTCTCATACTCCAAAATCCTTCTACCTTCTCTTCCCATCTTGTGCCTCTTTACCACCAACTCTCTCTCCCTCTTTCTCTCTATCGCATTTTCTTTCTTTATTGCCAATTTGTGGGAGTCTAAACGCCAAAGTTTGGGGCTTCGGCGTAGGGTGAAATTCACCCACCAACCCCACATCAAGTACTTGTCGGTTAAAGTGAATGTTTTTTTGGGGAAGAGTGGGGTAACTGTAGGGAAGTCTCTTCAAATCTTTTTTTTCATTTTCGGGGGAAGGCGATCTGTTTACTATATTTTTTTTTCACTGGGGCGTTAGGAATTTTTCTGACGATTGTTTGGTTATCGTTTTTGACGTTGATCTCAGCCAGGACTTTCCAGGAATTTATAAAAAACAGGAAAAATTATGAGATAACGGCGATTCAATTGGAAAATTTACTGGGGAAGTACAAAAATTATGAGGCGTCATCGAATAGGGTTTTCGAGTCACACCACATTGTTAAAAAAAATTAACATTCAGGTTTGACTGGACGTTCATTTAAATTCGAGAATTTTAAGTAGCGGAGAGACAGATTCCTCAATGTATTTCAATCTCCAACGGAATGGAATTTTTCACAAAGTCTGAAGAAATTTCACGACTTTCGTCTCTTCAAATCACATTAAATGTCACTGCACTCAAAACCCAAAAACGTCTTGACCTGAATTTTGATATTCATTTCCAAGAAAATGGAAATGCACATTAAGATGTCATGAAATTTCGCTGGAATTGTGACACGAAAAAAATGATCGGAATTTATTAGATAATCAGAGTATTTAATAAAAAATTGTGAGCATGAGGTAATGTGCATAAAAATGAATCCAAAGTTTTAAATTAAGATGTGAACTTCTAATGACTATATTTTTCTCTCATCGCTGAAATATTCATGGCTGTCTACATGCATTAATTCAGTTTAATGGAGATTGTTTAAAAGTGAATAGACATTGCTGAGATGATGGAGAAGGTGGTAAAGAGGATAAATAACGAATTACCTCATCTTGAAAGAGCTTCCTAAAAGCATCCCGTCCGTACCTAGACGATCCCTCAAGTTTGAGTAAATCCGAGCACTCCTTGAGTACAGTACTCCTGCGTTTCTCTATAAGACACTCTTCCTCCATGGAGCTCATGCACTCGGGTCGAATGGTGTAATTTGCCATCGTAAATATAACCGAAAAATAAAACACAAGATTTTCAACTTAAAATGATCTATCCCACTCACTTATCCTTTTTACCGCAGCTCAGAGTAATCCATAAACACAAGAACTTGAGTTAAAAGTTGTGAGAGCCCTCGCTTGCCAGTTGCTCCAGTCAATTAAACTTGTATCATTAATGAAAACTCAGTATATCGATGACAGAAAAAGGAAAAGACAAAGGTGGAGATGAACGAGTTGAGGGGTTTTGAAATTTAAGGTATTCGAACTGGGCAATTCGAGACGTTAGCAAACACTCTCAACGAAAATGCCAACGAATCAAGCGGGAGAGACAAATAGGAGTTGGTAAACAGGGAAATGTTGGGTAAGGGAAGAGCCCTGGAAGGAAAAGGGAGATGTAAAAAAAAAAAAGCTGAAGAATCGAAAAGAAATCACTTTGAAGTTTCTCCGTTTTTTATGTCCTTTTCACTTGAAAAGGTACATTTCACACTGAAAAAACTACGGCACCCTCGTTTCTCGTCTTGTGGAAAGAACTGGTCCGTTTTATTTTCACTGTTTTTACTCCACACGGAGGCATGGAAATTCCGTGGAAATCCCTTTGAAAATGTGTTCCACTCAGTCACCAACATGTGAACAATATATATTCCTGTTTCCAATGCTGTAACACTGTCAAAACAAACCAAGTCACTCGATTCATCAAAGTGAATACACATGCATGGCTATTATTTGCCTCTGTCGTATACCCATTTGGTTTCACACGGGAATTTTCTCCGCCGTTGATATTTCTCCTCGCACTTGTTTGTGAAACAATATCACCGATGTTGTGTCCAATGAGAAATTCACGTTAGTGATCGGTTTGTCGACGGTTGGACGGTTTAACTTCATTGGTGAACAGCTGATGATGTCTCTGTTGAGTTGCATAACGTGCTTTGGGATAAGATGAAGAAAGACCAACACATCGTACCTGTGGGGGAATTATCCTCTTTTTTCAGGGGAAGGGTACCTTTCACTTTTTGATAGGCACCAACAGGTCGTGGTGGGTGATTATCTTATGGTGCGTGTGGCCACCTCCAGCTATCCATGTTTAGTCAGTTGAGAGGTTTATTGGGAGCACTGATGATCAATTCGGTTGATCTTGATGAAATTATTGCATGTTTCGCTTGATTATTTTTTTACATCATTCTAGAGCAAGACGTGAATGACGGATTTATCATTCACGGAAATTTTCCCTTTTTTCCAGCAGAGAAAATATAATCACGATCATTTATTTATACTCATTGAAAAGGTGAAAAGATGAAAAGGTATTAAGAAAATATGAGCAATGAAATCTTCGCGAAATTACATTATCATTATTTAAAAAATCGCAGATATAGGGTAAAAATTAAGTGGATTCGAATAAATCGATTGGGATAATTTTTAATTCCTGTCACACACGAGTTGATCTAATAGGGACATCATTGCACTCGAGGCTCTTTATCTTTATTCATCAATATAACCTGTAAACTGTATATTATTATTCCAGTAATAAAATCTATACCGGTTTAGATATTTTTTGTTATCCCACAAATGTATGTAATTGATGCAGCCTTTCAGAGCCTATGAAAAATTGATTCTGCTAAATAATAATGACTTCTTCTACTCCTGTGGATGACAGATGATATATCGATGACGTGTGTCACTCGTTGAACCGTTCTTTTTCCTTTCTGCAATTTTCTGAATACCAATGGACATTTTTCTCCTCCGAAAGATCGGCGTTAATCAATTATTTATATTTTCTCTGACATTTCGAATTCGACGGGAATAAATTATTTGGGGACTTCCTAACGCCGAAGTTTTTCCATTTATTTTTTTCTTCCAATCATTAAAAAAAATAATAAAAAATGTTGATTCAGCTTCACCCAAAAAATAAACAATTCGATGAATTAATATTCTGTATGACTGACTAATTAAATAATTTGTACGGCAAATAGTTTATGAAAAACTCTCATTAACTATTTAATGAGGCCCTTTTCACGGAGAGCAATCGAGTTAAATCGTCAAACAGATTGCTCTCATTATTTTTTTCATTCATTCCATCGATCCACTTCACAGCTTTTTAATCATTCGCTTGCAATTCAATCCGCTTTGCTGCTTGGCCGATGGAGACTCATGTCCAGAGGAATCTTAACGCCTCGATCTCATCAAAGATAACACTCGCATGTTGCATGAGCACACAAAAAAAATGAATAAAAAATCAGCATTCAGGTACTTGCGTTATTTACTTCATCACTTCATCACTGCAATAATTATCCAGTGACGTTAACTATTATAGAACCAAATCCGGTTATTCTCCATAATGAAATTTGGCTCCATTTGTATCGAACATCGAGAATCGGCGAGTGGAAATGCATTTTGCCAATTCATTATATTTATCGAATGAGAATAATTAATTATACAAGAACGAGAAAATAATCGATAGACCAGCGACTGTTTTCTGAAGAAGAAAATAATTAACGTAATGATACATAATAATTAGACTTGTCAAGCAATAACACCTGTGATAAAAAAAATAGCTTTGTGCATTAATTATTTTGGATTTCTTGAGGAATTCATGCTTTTCCCCGGAGATTAATTAAAACCCCTGATATACTTTTAAAAGCATCAGACAGATGAGATTCTTTACCTAAAAAAAATACCACCGCGGGTATGACCTCAGGCTTATATTTTTTCCGGTCTTCATCTCTCAGGCCAAACTATCGCATAAATGTTTTAATCGCTTTGAGGCTAGATAGGAATTTTCAAATTTCGCTTTTTTTTTCGAGTTAATTGAGAGTAACGGAGTTTTAAAGAGGCCATCGTTTTGCTGGTTAAAGGGTTGGCGACGAGTTTCGCTATGAGAGATTGGTTGGTTGGTGTGAGGATGGGCAAAAGGAGCATGAGCTAGCACTAGCTCCATGGAATGAAGACGAAACTCTGCGTTGCAGTGGAAAAACAAAGTTTATTCGACCACCGAGGCGTTCCTTGGTAATAACGATGTCCCACAGCAATTTCACAGAAAACTGCTTTATTGCGAAGTCGTAAATCGTGATACTTACAAGACGACCGTAAAACCCCCAGTCGTTCTACTCTAATGACGAGGAACAAGTGAATGAGCATTTGTGGGGTTTATAACATGATTAAACATATCACATTTCATATTTCATTTTTTGTCTGTATTTTTCTTTCATTTCCTCATCCCTACGCTGAGAAAAAATCTAGTTTATTAAAAAAAAAACAAAATTGCTTTTAAACTAGGAGAATAATTAAATTAATTAATAGTCGTGAACAACAAATTTTGGAGCTAAATTGTACCTTTACTTGTTTGAAAGAAATGAAATTTCAATGAGTAATCGGTGACATGTGGCTTTTTTATTTTGAAAAGAGATTGAAAAAAAAAAATTGAACAGTCTCTCATTGCCATTTTCAAAACGCACCTTTTGCTCGACTGAAAAAACTCAAATCTTGTCGACTCGGTGTAAAACTGGGGGAGCGTTTAAAATCCATTCAAGTTTTCATGAGTAATTTGACTGTCTTAATTAGTGGCTTGGGGAATAATTAGTGGTTATAATTTCTTTGATGATATTTAACTCGTGAAAGAATAGTTAATAGGGTATTCAAGTGCCCGTCAGGTTGACTCGTTTTTTTACCGCCATAAATGTTGCTTTTTTTCACTTCTCATATTCTCGAACGAGTACAGTCGATGAAGTATATTTTAAAGAGTATCTCCATTTTTTAATACATCACAATTTTTATTTCTCATCGGAGAGATGATAGAGAAATTGATTGAGTGAAATTGAGAATTTCCGAGCACTTAATTGTGAATGATTTTTTTTTATTTTGAAAATGACTTGATGATTCATGGAATAAAAAAATACTAGGGGGGATTTGAATCAAGCAATGAAATTATATGAACGGGTAATTATGATGTTGAGGCCTCTCAGCGAACTAGGAAAATTGACTAGGAGCTGAGAAATAGCTCATGAGAGGAATTTGAAAACTTCACCGCCAGGTACCCTAGGATCCTTTGAGAATTGAATTTATTTCTCAGCACTATAAACCGTTGTAGTCTAGTTTGCGTAAAAGTTTTGTTAATCAAACGCTGTGCGAGAAAAACTCCTTTCCGCACGGAGTCAACTAAACCCGAACTTTTCAATTATTCCGAAGTTTTTATTGAATTGCACTTCAAAATTTGCAGGATATCCGGAATACTAGAAAACGTAAGCCCAACGTCGTTATATACCCTTCAACATTGTTAATTGTATTACCGATTTTTCAAATTGTTGTACATGAAATAAAAAATCGGCAACAATTCCTTCATTCGTACACCAATTTGAGAAAAAAATGCCCAAGGCCTTTTTTCCTATCGTCCCTCCATTTATTTGCCGGGAAAAACGTCAAAAAAACGAATTGCTTTTAAACTCGAGCCATGGCTGAATGTTCCACGAGACTTCCGGTCGTTTTCCGAACGCCAGCACTTGGTACGTGAGATCATTGCATTTACGATCTCAACAGGTGAAAAAACCATTTTAGATACTAAGTGAAGCACAGGGAAACATGAATTACGACTCCAATACCAAAAAATACGTGCAAAAATCCGTAATTCTCTGAATTCAATGACTGAATTGATTGAATTCAAACAAATACCCGATATTATCATAGATAAATCGATTTGTCTGATTTCTCTAGATAGAGTCGACGGAAAACTTCACCCATTGCAGCTCTTGCTGGACTGACCGAAAAAAAAAAACGATTTCCGTCAATTAAATCCCCGTCTGGCAGTAGATGAAGTCGTTGGAGACGAGACAACAATCGGCATTAGAACATCCATTTTAAGCGATTGGTAGTTCTCCGTATATTTATTGTCCAGAAATAATTTTTTCTCCAATCCCTGAAAATCCATAATGGATGAAACTTTTCTTGAATTAAACATCCGGTATCCTGTGCAGCCTCCACCTCGATTCCTAGTATAAACCGAAAGAGATGAACCGACAAATGACAGAAACATAGAAAAAAAAAAATAATGAAAAAAAGATAATTCATCGTCTTGACCTCAGACAATCATCAATCGGTTCTAACAATCTCCAATTTTCCGGCTCGTATAATCTCGAGAGAAATTCTCGTTTATCGTTGTGTGCATGGGATCGTGGAAAAGCTATTTGGTGAATGGACAGTTCCATAGGTAGTGGAGGTGGTGGAGATCGGCCAACGAGGAGGATTTTGAACAGAGGACCACGGGGGGGGGGGAGTAAAAGCGGGATAACCAATCACTCGTATGAGCGATCCGAAACTAATTCCCCTTATCCCCATTGGTTTGATTGATTGCGGCTAAGATTTGATCGATCCCCGCACATGTTTCCCCCTTTTATTCCAGGGGAATATCACCGCTTTCGTACTTAAGCTGGTGGTGGGAGAAATAACGATAATTGAAAGAAAGAGATGAAAATTTAATTGTGGACATCGGTGCACCCCCTAAGCAGCGAGACCCTCCTTCATCCCAAAAGTCTTCGGTTGACTCAAGGTCCCCTTCGCCACCCCTTTACCATCACAATTTTTCTCTCAAAAATTCTTCACCCCCTTCCACCCTTTTCTACCCTCCCACTCCCCCTCACCCCCTCAAACCCCAATGTTGCACTTTAACCCAGCACAGGACGCGCGTTCTTCGTAACGCACTAGTTCAACCCTTTCGATAAATCCTATCCCAATTTTGTGGCGATCCATAACACAATCCGCGTGGGGATTGCGCTTGCGTTCATTGCGCTTACTGGTGGCACCTGCGCCACATTCGATCCTACCCACCCCTTGTTAACCCTCTCTTTTGGCAAAAACCCTCTTCCTCCCCCCAGGGGCTCCCCCCTTCCACTCCCCTTTAGCCACTCCCGCCGATTTAACGTCGACGACGACGCCGACGACGACTGCTCTCTCTCCACTACCCCGAAACACCCCACCAGTCCACCCCATCTACCTCCACCCTCTCCGTCGGTTCGTCGCTCTGTCGTTCTCTTTTCACCTCACCCTTTTATCCCTGTCTGGCTGACTGTATATCCAGTGCTTCTCCAGCCGTTTCACCATCCCTACCAAGAGCCCCCACCACCCCTCCGACTTTTTCCATCCCCTCTCGTGACATTGCCATTGCCATGCACATTCAGCTTTCCACGAGTATCCACTAACGCTCGTCAGTCGGTCCGCGTGTTCCTTGTACCGCGTCCATCGTCTTCTGGTATTCATCCACGCGTCAATCTCATCACTCTCTTCCCACAACGCAGTCTACTGTTGAATTTATCTCTTGTAACTGTTCTCAGTAAAGACTCTGGTGGAGTATTGCTCCATGGTGACAGGAAAAAATATATTGCCCATGAGGTCCCGCCGGAAAATCAAACCGGCCGGCGGCCAACGCGCCATCCGCACCGCATCAAAACGCGCCAACCGCATTTTTTAACACAATTATCACGCTCTGTATATTCACCCTTTTCATATTTCTCTCATTTTCTCAATCACCTCCTTCGACCTCTTCCGCTTATTTTTTTTTCGTTGCAGATTAATGGAGGAATACTTTAAATATCTGGCGAAATTTTGATAAAAAAAAAAACGAGGTGCACACGGTTTTAGTGAATTTATTGGTGGATACGGGTGGATATTATGGATGATCCTATTTTTTTATCCTCGTGTGGTGTCACTACGGTGAAATTCAACCGATAACTGGCAAATGTGTAAACACGAGGAATTTCATTTTGGGACGAATTGAGGTTCGTTCCAATTGATTCACTTTTCACTGTGCGGTTTGAAAATAAAAAGCAAAAAGTTGTGGTTAAACTTTCCCAATTCTCCTAGGTTTTTACCCCTACTCATTCTTCTATCGAGGGTGAGGAGGAGCTCAGGCGGGGGGAGAATTGAAAAATAGTAGTTTTCAAGAGGCATAAAAAATCGAATTTAGTTTCAATCGGTTGGTAAAAGTTGGACGTTGCAAATGAGATACACTTGTCGCGAATGAAGTTTTAGCTTCCTCATGAAAATAGAGAGCAGGATGGGAGTGGAGAAAAAAAATGATTTAATTTCTTTTCTCACCAAAAGTTTGCGTAAACTCTTGGAAACACGCGAAGAGTGGAGAACGGGGAGATAGGAGTGAAAAAAAAAAATATATATGGAGAGAATAAAATGAGATAGAAGTTTTGCGGTGCTGTCGGTACCCGATGGGTTGACCGGAGGATGACTTTTAGAGAGACTTTTTTACCTGCACTTTATAAGATAAACCAAAGTTTTGTTTACGTTTTTGCTGAGTTAACTCAGCCCCCTCCCCCTCTTCCCCCGCCACTAACTTCACTCTCATCCTCGTGTTTTCTTGTGAGGTGCATGTGTTGTTTTTTAATTTATCGTTTTTTATCACGTGAATATTTTTATATGCTGTGTTAGAAAAAAAATTTTATTTGCAACTTAAATATTAATTATCAGTGGTGGTGGATGTGGTTTGGGGGTTGAAAATGGTTGGATCAGATATCACTGAAAAGCTCGGAATTTTAATGAAAATGAAGATGAAAATCCCTGAATTTATTAAAATTAACAATTCAATATGACCATTCGGTGGTAAATTACCTCGAATTTCCACTGAAATCAGAAATTTCATAATTTTTTTTTATCCAAATCGGGTTTCTGATTTGCTGTTCATTTCCCGGGGGGCGGGAATTTCCAGTTGTTTTATTTCTCCACATAATTTTGAATTTCCAATGCGAAAATATTGTGACACGATAAAAAAAGCGAGAATTCGCTGGTAAAAAATAGTGAGAACATTTTTTTTTCCCGTTGTATATTATTCAGGAGTTTTTTTTTTCTCCGTTTGATTTTTTTTTTCTTTTTTCGAATGAAGAGCGAGTGAAATACACACTTGGTGAATTTTGGTGAAATGCAACTCTTCAATTCTCTTACGTTGACATTCGTAGATGGAGAAGAGCAAGTTACTTTGTCTCATACTGATTCTACTGCAATGTCACGTACGACTACTCGACTCTTACAACGTGCCCTGTGCTTTCAACACGATGTGTCTATGCTGGATACAGGATGACGAGGAGTTTACGAAAATGGACATCAGTTGCCTTGGTGTACCATTCGCACGTTTCCCAGGTATGTGACTGTGAATTACTCATGATTCGCAAATTTAGGATGACATGGAGCTCCCACTGACATTTTTTCTATCCCCAGTTCATAAATATGAGATTTACTCCACACGAAGAAATATTGACATTCATCCCCTGACATTCATCCCCATGTGGAAATTTATTTTATTATTTATTTATTTGTTATTTCCAAAACAATTGCTTTCTCAATTCCTTAACGCAGATGAAATAACCTTTTGAATTATTCCCCACGACTTTTATTTTTTAATTTTTTGATTATGCAATTATAATTTTAAATGACAACTCATAAAATTGGAAATTATTGTGCAATTGAAAATTTAGCGATTTCCCGTGAAGATAATAAATTATCAGTAGATTCTTTTATCGAATTTTTTTGTACTGAGAGTGATGTATGAATCATTTCCCCACATATTTAACCCCATCATCCCGAATTTAATAACGGATGTATGAATAACGAAAATGTAATTTCGTCTTGTACGGCATTACGGGAACACTCAGTATAAAAATATCGCCCCTATTTCCCCCGATGCACAATTTATCTCTCGTCATAGTCTATCTTTTTCCCCTCAATTCTCTCAAAGCTCATGTAATCCTGGGGGCTCATGCACTCCATGTAATTTCTCAACGGTCATTCGCGATCTTTTTTTCAAAACAGTCACCCACGTCCATCACTCATTCCCATTGTCAATAAATGGTGACCAAAATATTTATCGAGCATTCGTAAAATTCGTTGAGCGAGATTTTCCATGACATTTCATCAAACAAAGCCGTTGAAGCCCATACCAATAAAATTTCTCCAAAAACTTCCAAAATACTGTAAAAAAGTGATAAATAAAAAGATAGACGACAGTGTGGATGATATAAAAAAATCGACAAAAAAAATTTCCAAACTATTCGCGAGGTACGCAGACCACGGTTCATTGTTGGTAGCGTGAAAAAAAAAACCACACAGACAATGAACAAAAAAAAAATCGAGTTTAGGTACTACTTGATACACAATCGAGCACTTGCGGTATGTGCCAGATTTTTGTTAGTGAATAAAAAAGGAAAAAAATCGTTCCTATGGGGCCGTTTGATGATCGAGTGGCAGAGAGGCGCATCTGGAAGAGAACCACGTCAAAGGCGACTCCGGGTATCACTTTTCAAATTGTATGTATACCCATCTCTGCCAGCGAGTTTTCTCGCGTTTTTATACATCACATATGCATGTACATAGAGTACGTGTCAGCCAAGCCAGCTATTCAAAGCGAAAAAAAAAACCCCAAAAAATAAAGGAGAAATGAAAAAAAAAAGAGGGAAGGACGTGTAATTCATTTCTCGGCTTGTAAATACGTTTTTTTTTGGTTTTCCTCCGTGCGTTTGCTTTTCCCCCCTTTTTCTGGTTTTCCAAAGTATGAATAAAAATATTACATCACGGCGGGTTATTTTCCTGGGTGTATAAGACACACCGGGTTACTGTACCTCGGGGCAATGAGAGGTATTCTCGTACGTTGTACACAGGGTTGAGATGGGAATAACGGAAATGCATGAAAAGAGGACGTTGAAGCGTGAGACTGACTAAATATAGGGTGTTACCACTGAGGCGGGAGTTCTGGGATATTTCGGATGGTTCTTTTAGTCTCACTCTTCAATTTCTCTTCAATTTCTCTTCAATCTCTCTTCTATCTCTCTTCATCTTGCTCTCTCCACACACCTCATTTCTCAAACCTTTGGTAATATTGGTGTATATACTGCCACTCATTATCAAGTGCTCCTCAGAAATTAATTCTCTTCAGAGCACTTCAGCAACTTTGCATTACCACTTTTCAGGGAGTTCACCGATTTAACTTGTTGATACTGTGATGGGTTCAATTAATCAGACCGCCAAAACAGTTCAGGTGAAAAACAAGTTGAACGGCATTTCTCAATTTGATGAACACGTCTATTCTTTTTCATTTCTGGTGGTTTTCAAATCCAGCTTGGAGGGTATTCTGACATTCCAATTTCAGGTGGGAAATTCATTTTCCCGCGATGCCGTTTTCAATTAGTTCTCTTTACTCGATGAAGAAATTATGTTGTGAGAGGAGAGAAGTTGGCATTACTCAGTCCTTTTCCATTTTTGGTCTATAATCCGATTCCTGATTAATTCTACTGAGTCATATGAAGATGATGAATGAGGTCATCCGAGGTAATCGATACGAAATCAAAATTTTTTATTAGTCCCCATGAAGCCAGAAATAAATGAAGCTAATTTGATTTTTGATTACCCCAAAAAAAAACAGGTCCAAGTATTTTTAAGCGAAATGAAAAATGACAGAAAAAATGAAACAACAGTGGAGAACGCATCCAATAAAGAATTTCGCAAACTCACCAAATATTGAAGAATAAATGTGTACATCGGGCTGGCTGATAAAACCAAAAAGTAAAATGTAAACAAATAACGAGAAAAATTAATAGTACTAAACGTACGAGCGTGCAAGTAAAAAAATTTGAGTAACAGTGACGTTGAATTTCGAGAATTAAAATAGCCATTAATCCACGTTTCCATATTGTGGGTAATAATTTTTCCTGGCATGGTGCAGCGGTGTGTGTTACGTCTGCTGTTAAATTCATAACTCCATGGCACAACTGTTCTAAAACCGTATAGGAATCATGACCTGAGTAAAGAGGATAAGGGATAAAGATATAGAATAAGGGAAGAGAGAAAACTAGGGAACCGTCTGAATACTGCATTTACCTCGCAATTTATACCCATTATTTCCTGAATGCGGCGAGTGAGAAGGCATTAGTACGGATGTACAATAGAAAACAATAAGCAACACATACCTGAAGGTCGGCCAGAGGGATGAAAAAGGGGGTGAAAAAGGGGTTAAGGGGAGGGTATACCACAATGCGCTTATGTTGTGACCTTTCCCCCTTCGTACACTTCATAACCCTATCTCTAAATCTACTATCCTATCCCGCAAAACTCCTTTTAGTCGACGATATCAATCCCCATTAAACTAGATATTTAGCTCATTGTTAATCTACCCGGAGTTTCATATCAAAGGAAAGACACTGGGTTGGGAAAGCAGGTCAGTTAATCCAGTAGTTCAGAGCTTTTCAATTTGCTAGGTGAGTGGTGAGAGAATAGACTATTCTCCAATAAAAACTTTTTTTTTTAGCTTATGGAAGGAAATTATTTACTACACAACGAGTTTCAACTATGGAGTCACGCTTTACTCAATTTAGGATAACAATATATAGTTTATTTAATGAATTGATTAGAGTTCATGGAGATAATATATTTATGGAGAAAAATTAATATTTGATATTTGAATTCCATATTTGAATTATTTTAAATGTATAGAATATGATTAATTGAAGTATTTGGAAATTTAAGTGACATTTCATTTTTGGCTTGAATACATGTGCATATAATTAATAATAAATATCATTTTCCGATATCGCTATAAAACGGAACACGTGAAAATTGAAAATTTCAAAAGTTTAAATTGCTCTACAATCGATTTACAATTGCCGTACATTCAGTGATTCTGTAATGATAAATTAATGCAATTTTTCCCCCGCGAACCAATTAATTCCGGTTTTACGTACATCCTCAATGCAATTGCAAATCAATCAATCCCTGGAGACGGTAAACTCTCGTGTACAAAAAACTTAAATGCCCTGATTACCGCGCTGATTAAAAAAAAAAACAGCTCCTCCGGAAGAACTCCATTTTCTCTGCATAAAACATCAATTCTCAACCGTCGCCGGATGTGAACATTAAAATTGCGTCTACATGAACATTAACAACTAAAAGACAGTTGATTAAAGTAAAATTATTTCAGCCAGTGTATTTTTATTTATCCCCAGACGTGTCGGTGAGTTATGTTGCCCAGCTGGACATCGTGAGCTCGGGAATTCAGGTGTTGGAGAACGATGCACTGGTGAGTTCCTCGGGGGTTGAGGCTCTCGGTCTCATGAGCAATCGTCTTGCGAGCATCGGTGAGAAGTCTCTCGTGTGAGTGTTTGCACTGGTCCACCATCCAACTACTCGTTTCACCATCTCTCTCTAACACTATAACCACTGAACCTTTGAACCCATGCCCATAAACCCCCAAGCAAAAAAATCCAAAGCTTCCTCGAGTTCCATCGATTCACAGTTGCAGGGTTGATCGCTGGTCCCACCTCCCCTCGCCCCATACCACCCACCACCCCCACGGAAATGGTCTTTATCGATTTCTGGTTTCCGTTTTCTCCATGTCCTACCATTCCCCTGCACTCACCTGATTTCTTCCTCATATTTGTCCCCATGTTTATCCTTTCATTCCCTTTCTCATGGCTGAACTATTTATTTTTTTTTTTTCATTAAATCTCGTTATGGTCAATATTCCGTTATTTCATTTTAAACTCATCCCGTTTATTTTCATCTTGACAACCGTATTTCTGCATCAATGGTTCGCTCGAGTTCTTTTCGATTGACAATTTTATATTGCATTGGTATTGCAGCGGTGTAGCCAGTAGTCTCCGTTCCCTCGATCTCAGCTACAATTCACTGGAGGAGGTACCTTTCAAAGCACTGAGTCCTCTCAGGAAGTTGACTTGGTTGAATATGCATAGGTAAGTGACACCCACAATTATCAACATTAAATAATTTCCAGTCGTAATGATTTGACCATCAGCTCGTTCAAGCTGTCATTCAGGCTGCCATTCAAGCTGTCATTCCCGAGTATTAATTTCATGCACTCCTTATTTTTACTTCAACAATTTCCATTCCCATATTTTCCCTCTAACATTTCCCAATATTTACATATTCATGACGAATGGAAGGGAGAAAGAGAGAAATCGAAAAATTGAATCGAGGAATTGAATCCAGAGAGAGAGGGAGTGATGGATAGTCCACATTTTTGCTATACTCAATTTCACTTTTCTACTCGTTCAGTTGGTCCGTTCATTTGAGGATTTTTCCCCGTGGTATTTTTTATTATTCGTTTTTTCGGTACGGGCTTCGGACATCCAACGCCCGAATTAAAAAAGAATTCGATATATATGCCCTCGGTTATGGGGGACTCTAGTTGTTTCCCCACTCTAACTCCACCAATTCCCACTATTCTATTGTATTTGTTCCACGATCTTCTTCATTTTCAGCATTTATCGTGCCATTGCACACACCCGCAAATTTATTTGTAAATTGTCCATCATAGAGTTTATCGTGATTGAAAAAAACTATTGTTGCTTCATTGGTTACAGTGTGAGAGGATTAGCGATCTGCAGGGTTTATAATAAAAAGGGTTTTTCATTTCTAATCGATGATTAAACGCGGGACAGGGTGTAATCGATTTTCCGATGAATAATCAATATTGAATGAGATGAATAAAACCTTCAAGATGCGCAAATAAAAATCTATCGTGCAAAGTAGAAATTGCCGAATGATATACGCATTGTTTATTCCAATCACATCATGAATAGAGACGAAATTCCGTAACAGAGGGGTTGAACGTAATGCAACCGACATTAAAGAGGATTTGAATTACGGCTCGATGCAAATTTCATTAGTATGTCTGGTTGGACATTCGTGCAGTTTGTATCTGTTGTATTTTTATTGACATCTCTCTCTCTCTCTTTCTCTCTTTCTCTCTCCACGTACATCCTGATATTTCTTGTTTGCATGGATTTTGTCATACCGCATAACCAACAGCAATCACCTGACAACTCTGGATGGCGATTGGGGCCACATGTCGGAGACACTGACGAACGGTTTCTTCGGTGATAATAGCATCGTGGAGATCCCCCGTGTGTTGTCCCACTTTGTGAATCTAGTCTGGCTGAATTTGGATGGCAATGACATTGAGGATGTACCATCGACATCGCTCCCACCCAACATACGGACAATGAGCCTAAATAACAATTTATTATCATCATTTCCACTGAGTGTCGGTGATTTACCAGTGCTGACGTGGTTGTATCTGCGCGGGAATTCAATGAGAGTGCTCGATTTACCGGATTTCAGGAGTCCAGTGTTGGAATTACTCGATGTATCCGACAATATCATTGAGTCTGTGAGATTTCTCACGTCGTCAAATACAACGCTTCACATAAAAGATCTGAATATATCGAGTAATAAACTGTCAGTGATACCGGCTGGTGCATTTCAGTATGTAGAGACACGGAGAATGCATTTGTCATCGAACAACATCACGTATATTGATGACGAGGCATTCCGGGGACTGGAGAATATTCTCGAGTACTTGAATCTTGAGAACAATGGCCTATTACATGTACCAAGTGCTCTTTCAAAGTTAAGAAAAATAGCTTATCTGTACCTGAATAATAACGATATTTATAACATCACGAGTGATGGGTTTGGCTCGTTTGGGACTCATTTGAGGGCACTATCGCTGTCGAATAATCATTTAGTGTCACTGCCGGTTGGAGCACTTGGAAATTGCCGGAGTCTTCAGCATCTTAATCTTGGTTATAATAAGATAACGCATGTGTTTCCTGGGGATTTTGAGTGGGCTAAGAATCTTGAGATACTGCTGCTGAGGAATAATGTGATAGCTAAATTAAAGTCAGGAACATTCAAAGGGGCTAGCAGACTGAAAGAGCTCAGTCTGTCATTCAATCACTTGGCGGAATTAGACAGTCGTGCTTTTATGGGGATCGAGGAGAGCCTCGAAATTCTGGAAATGAGTTTTGCTTTTGCTACTGATGTTATGCCAAAGGCGGCATTGGCGACCCTGAAGAATCTACTGTGGCTCGTTCTCGATAATAATAATTTTCATGCCATTGATGCAGACACTTTTTACACATTTCGCCAATTGAGGTACGTCAATCTGGAATCAAATAGATTACATTATCTCCCGGATAAGATATTTCAAGCTGATGTACATCAGGAGTTGCGCGATGTTAAATTTGGATACAACTTTATTGAGGCAATACCCGAGGGAACATTTCAAAATCTCACGGAATTGAGATCGCTCGATTTAACTGGCAACAGGATCCATCTCTTGTCTTCCGGAGTGATTGAGAATTGCTCAAAATTAGTTACCATCTCGTTGGCGTATAATAGAATATCGGTGATGCAGAAAAGCGCACTACGTGGATTGTCCAGTTTGAGATTTCTCCATCTCGAATTTAATGATCTTACTGCACTAGAATTGGATGCTATTGTTGACACCGGGGGCTCCGAATTCTCCCTCAATGCATCGTTTAATTCAATCTCTACGATTACTTACGAATATGAGATGGTAAATCTTACAAGTCTCGATCTTGCCTGTAACAATATCACTCAATTGGCTGGAAATATTTATAACGGCCTGCCAAATCTCAGAAGTCTAGACCTACGGGGCAACTACTTGACGACTGTACATCCTGGTAAGTAATTTTTTTATCGAATCTTTTTTATACAGTCTTATAGTGGTCATTCATAAATTGATTTTCCGGTTCACTGCGATAACTACCGGCAGATCGTTATACACTCTCGTTTCCCTGATTCCAGGTACATTCGCCCTACTGCACCTGGAAACATTGAATTTGCGAGAGAATCGTCTGGAGACTTTGAGAAAACAAGCCTTTCACGCTACCCCATCCCTGCAAATATTGGACTTGAGCGGCAACATTTTATCCCAATTATCAACCGGACAATTTCGTAATTTGAGAAATCTACGAATCCTTAATCTGTCAAATAATAAAATCCGCTCATTACCCCGTGACATATTCGAGGGAACTCGAGTCGAATCACTGGATCTAAGTGGAAACAGAATAACCATAATACCATCGTCAGCATTTCTTGAGATTGGATACACACTTCGTGATCTCAATCTTGGTAAAAACTTCGTAGAGCATCTCGATGCCACAACATTCCCCACATCTCAGCTGAACTCTCTCAACCTCGCCAGTAATCGACTCACGATACTACCGGATAATTCATTTGTATCATTATCGAAATTAATGAGTCTAAACTTATCGGCTAATCACTTCCAAGCTAATTTCAAGGAATTGTTTCACTATTTGCCGGCATTGAGGCATCTCTACATGACGAATTGTGGATTTAGAAAAATTCCTGTTCTTCCGCTGATGAATCTCAATGTGCTCGACCTATCGTTCAATAATATAGAGGCTGTGACAACGCTCAATGTACAGTACTTCGAGTCACTTAAAGTTCTCCTGCTAGTCAACAATTCCTTGATCAAAGTTCCGGACGTAAGGCTGACTCTTCTCCGGGAGTTGGATTTATCCGGAAATCTTATTGAGGTGATTTTTCCATTACCAAACGAAACGACGATATTTATCCACCCGTAAAATTATTCCATGACCGAACACTCCTGGGATGAGAGTTCACTCAACCTTCCTATTATCATTCAAATAACTCCGATAACATGTGTCAAGAACGAAATTATAAAATTTCCCTCAATCTCGAATAATTATCTCTCAATGAGTCAATGGCATTAGAGACTACTCCACGCAAATAACATCCAAAATACAGATAAATGTCTAATGATTAACGTAACAACCAATGAAAAGTTCACCCCTCGAAACTATCAAGACAGCGCTCATAACGTAGAGTTAAATACCCGTCGAAACTTTCCAATTTCATGAATCAATAATTTCACCGGGAATTTGCTTGAGTTGATTGTCTACCCAAGTGTTCCTCCATTGAGTAAGAGCACTATTTTACTAATAAAAAAAATAAAACTCATCAATTGGCTTTCCAGGAGTTAAGCAAAGACAGTTTCATGGGCTATCGACGTCTGGAAAAACTTGTTCTACGTAAACTGAATCGAATTAAGTGGGTGAATAATAATAGTCTCCGTGTGTTACGCTATCTGAAACACTTGAGAATCCAAACTTGGCCACAGGCAGACCTTGACCTACGTATTCTACTGAGTGAATTGCATCTACGTACCGTTGAGATAGAGGTCACTGAGCCCATCCTGAAGAATCAAATTCACAATGCATTCACTCGACGCTTGAGAGAGCTCACAATAACGGGTCAAGAGCTCGAGGCAATATCACCTGAAGCATTCTCAACTATTGAAGGTGGTGAGCTTGTACTTAGGATCAAGGGCACTCATGTCAGACGCTTTCAGTCAGACATTTTCTTGTCACTAGCGAGGAGAATGTCACAATTGACGCTCGATCTCCGGGACAATCACATTAATGAATTGAGTCCATCAGTTATCTACGGTAATTTATCGTGGGAAACAGTGGGAACGAATCTCGTTGCTGGTGAGTTTTTCTTCTCATCTCTCACTTGTCGTTTTTTTTGTCTTTCGACCACAGTGTCTCAATACTATCGCATATGCTGTGAATGTCATTAAAAAATTAACAACCAGGATAGTTTTTCAACTCTCTACTTTCTACTGTACAATATTTTATTTTTAACGGTTTTTTTAACTTCATTTTCATATAATTTTCTTAGAGTAGAGAAATTTACATAATTTCTGTAACAATACACATATGAGAATTGAATTCATTTGCTTGATCTGGTTATCGCGAATTCTCATTGCTCTTTACACTTTGTGGGAACAAAACAAATAATAACTCCAGTAGTGGATTTCATCTGCATTATGCATTTAGCATTCGAATAAATAAACAAGTTTTGGGTGAATTTCCAGGGCTTTTGATGCACTGAAAGAGGGAAGCATTAGTAATAGAGAGAGAAGAAGTTTAAACAAATACGGACTGACTGGTTGTTTAGGGTTTTTGTAATTGAAAAATGTCCCCCAGGTGGTCTACAAGTTTCGGGTAATCCCCTCGAGTGTGACTGTGAAATCGCCTGGCTGAGCCTATGGCTACGTAGATGGCTACGTGAATCCCGTCAGATTCATACAGCATCACAGTCGGATGCCCGACAGTTGAGAAACATTGCTGGTAGAGCAGTTTGCACTGAAACTACACCATCTTACTCATCTGACCGAGTTTTGCTCACCCTTGGGACACCGCATACCGCATGCCAAGCGTCAGCCCTCAGCTCAGGTCATTATCCCCGTTCGACAAAATCCTACCTATTTTTCATTCTACTTTTTATTAAATTCATCATTCACTGTACCTAGCTGACACCAGCCAATCCATTTTTCAACGAATTTTAAAATAAAAGTGTGTGTGTGCGGGAGACAAAAGTTGTAGTGCAGGAGAAGAGGTTCACAAAAAAAAAAAAAATTAAGAGAGTGAGATAAAAAGTAGAAATTAAATGGTTTCAAGGAAAAAACAATGAGAGCAGTGGGAGAAAGCCGAAGGAGATAAAGAACAAAAAAAAGATTGATAGAGTGATAAAAAGTGATAATAGTGTGGTCGGTGTGAACCTTGTGAGAAATTTACATAGTGACAATTCTTTTAATATAGTTTTCTCCCCGTTTGTCTCTTGCACCGGCTTCTTTATGCACAAACAATGCGCCATTCTGTTTTATATAGTGTGGCAGTGAGTTGCCGTGTCACGAGACAAATTACCTTTATGTATTAATTTTTCTGATTATTTTAGAGTGTATTTGTTTGTTCTTTCTTAATTAAACGGGTGGTGCCTGTGTGTGTTGAAGACAACCCTCTACATTCTCGGGCCAGTCGCAGACATTCTCATTTGGATTGAATACAAGATTAACAGGACATGGCATATGATGTTTTCGCTCGCCCTCACACATGTAATACATTGTACAGTCGTTTTTATCCGGATGATACGATATGTGATTGTCCTCCTCGTCGCAGGTAACCTCGTTAGCTAAAAGCGCAAAAATCACAGGTGAATATCCAGTTTATCTTTCTTTTCTCGCCACTTTTATTCTTTTTTCTCTTTCATTTTCCATCCCCACAGTGTCTAGAGTGGCTCTGGCAAGCCTTGGGGATAAAATTTTTATACTCACGGTCTTTGGTGGTGTATTTTCCACTTCGTAATCCAGTCTCATATGGTCCATCATATTCGAGTTTAACTGAGTAGTCGAGCAGTTCTTTCTTCATTGCTTTTATCAGTGGGTATTTGCCTGCACCGCAGGTACCCTTGAAGTCGTCCATATCCACTGACCACACCATAATACCACCGAAGCCCTCTTCCTTCAGCCAATTCATCTGTTTTTCATTTTGTAAAATTTCAATTTGAGATATTTTGTTAATGTAGGAACCATTCAGTAGCGAAACTAAACCGATACCAGTCGACTTATCTCGTCGATGAGAGTCCGTCACGAATATCTCCGGAACTAAGAGGAATACGCATTTTTTAATATAACCACTTTCGTAGCTCTCGAGTAGCTCTACAGAAAAGATTCTCATGAAAAAAATGAAATTTCCCTTCGATTCGAATATTTTCGCTGAAAACTAACAGATGATTATCGAAATCGACTTGAACCGATTTATCGCTTCGCTGTTAAAATTATGTGTAATTACTCAATGAGAAATTTGTAAACATTGTTTAGGAATGGCTAGAATGCTCAATAATGGAACATATCATTTGGATGGATAATTATGTTAATCCAAGCCCAATCGTTACAGGGAAAATGTGTGCACGTGAGCCATGTAAATTTTGTAAGCTGTGTGATAGTTATCAGTGCGGGTGAATAATACGGAATGGAATAATCAGTACAGTAGAATCCCGTTATATCGCAACTTTTCTCAATATTTTTTTTTTTCACGTATCTCCCCTACATCCCCTACAGTGGTGGGAGTAACTCCGTATAGTCGAATTGTCCGAATTAACTTCCCCTACAGCCCCATGCACATGAGTATAACGGGAGTCAACTGTACATTGAGAATACAAATTTGGGATGAAAAGTGGTGAAACGTAACTCGAACAGAATTTTTTGGATTTTCATTTTTCATTACTCATTCTCGTTTCCATTGTCTATCATTTGATTGATCTTTTGTGAATGTAATTACCTTGTTAACGAGACTTCTCTCATCGTCAAAACCAACCCACTGGTCGTCTCTGTAAGCGAAAGGTACTTGTTGTTCGCTATCCCAAACCAGGGTTGTGTTGTCCTCATTGAGAAAGCTACATACCTACGGAAGAATTGATTAATTGATATTTTATTGATAATTACAATTGAAAATAATTTAATGTAAATTGTTACGAAAGTAAAATGGCAACGAACTTGTAATACACGTTTTGTTTCATTGATTGAATGCAATGTTCATTTAATTACCTCGTAATAAGATAGAAAACCGGATTCATTAGTGAAATTTCCAGGCGTGCCACCACCTGACGCCGGTGCTCCGATATCAAATTTATCTTTATCAACGAGTGTGAATGATCTGCCGTAAGTTGGCATTCCAATCATAAGCTTTTCCTTGGGCGCTCCCTGCTTGACCCACTCACGGGCGCTGAAATCCTATTAAAGTCGGCGGAAAATAAAAGAAGAAAAGAGCTATTACAATAACTACATCAACGCAAATGTCTATTTTTTAGTTCAATAAAAAGAAGTGTTAAAAAAGACGTAAAAAAGTCAAGTTTAACGGGAAATGAGAGTAGCTGTAGAGAAGTGAGAGATGGAGGGATGAACTATCGAACGGATGTACAAAAGAAAATGTGAGGCACAGTGGAATAAGGACTTAGCAAGGAAGGCGTTTTTCATTTTTTTCCACTTTCAACCTTTTTTCCAGTCTTTTTTTATACTTCCAACTCTCTTTTTGTTCTACTTTTTACGCTCTTTTCTTACCACTGTCAGCTTCTTCTGGTAACTTGTGGCACCTTCCAGAGCGTACAACGGACTGTTGTGACCGACTTGACGTTCCCATTGTCCGTGGAAGTCGTAAGTCATTATATTTATGAAGTCCAGATACTTGGATACTTCGGGAACATCATATCTGTTTTTTTTTTAGCAAGGAAGACGAACCAAAAATTAATCATAAAAAGGTAACGCTGTACGACTGCTTGTTTCCCTTATAAATAAATCTCCAATAAAGGTGGTGGAAAAAAAAATGAAATAGTTGCCAAGCACTTGAAATTCGATAAGTAACCCATCAAAAAATTTCGACAAGTTGTGGAGGTGCGTCCTTAGAATAAAGCAATTCTGAAGTTTAATCTATTTAGATTGTTTGAGGGAAAGAAGATTATTTTACCCCGCGGCGATGGCTTCGAAACTCGCTGGTACAGCAGCAGAAAGGATTAGTTTAGGCTGTCCCGAGTCCTTCGCCTCGCCCTCGAATGCCAATCTAAGCTCCTTCAGTAAATTCACGTAAGCCGCTCTGTCATCAGCACCTCTTTTAACGCAAAATATATCACACGTCATTTTATATTACGAATCAGTTGAGTCGATTCACGGGGAAAAAAAAATTGTAATCGGAATATTTTTTCAAAATTTTCAAAAAATTTCTGGAAAACTTTTCAGAAATTTTTTTTTTTATCGCGAAACGAAGCAATTGTATTTTTGGGAAATGTTTTGAAAAGTTTTTCGAAAATTTGTTTCGGAATTTTTTTTAAATACCTATTTAGAAATTTTTGCGAATATATTTTTTTTTTAATTATACAATTTGATTTTTCGATATTTTTAAAAAATACGCCATCTAAATCACAAAAAAAATATTCCTATTCGAATTTAAAAAAAAATTTTCAAAACCTTTCCCAAGAATAAAATTATTTGCTTTCCGATTTTTTTTTGTTTCATAAAAAAAATTCTGAAAAATTTTCCCGAAATTTTTGGAAAATTTGGAAAAAATATTCCGATTACAATTTTTTTTTACCCGGGATCTTACTGATGTGCAGATTAAAAATTAATGGACAACAGCATGTACTGCCATATTATCATATTACCTCGGATATTCCCAGTCCACATCGAGACCGTTGAATTTATACTCTCTGAGGAACTCAATAGCCTCATAAACGAACTGATTCATACGGAATGTGTTGCTGGTCAGTTCTTTGAATGGAGTGGAGCCGAATGCCCACCCACCGATAGCCACTAATATCTAATTAAAAAAAAATCCATTAACAATTCAACGTTAAAAGGGCCATCTCGAAATGAATCAATTCAATTCCAAGTCAAAATTTTCATAAATCCACACGAATGAGAAGTATCATAAAATTTTATGACACTCATGAAAAAAATGTTGATCACTCGATGCAAAGACGATATTTTCAAAAAAGTGATTTGCAAATAAAATTCATTCATTTCATCTCGTCATTCGCTATTTCACACAACTGCAATTTCCGGTGTTCATTATATAAATCTAAACAAAACGCATTGCCACTGCCTCCATGAACATTTTAAAGATAAATCACGGTGGAACAAATGGGTAGGTAAGTATGGGCTTACCTTAATGTCTGGATTTTTCTCCCTGAGGGCAATCAAACGCTCGTACATTTCGGCATCCTTTTCGCTGCTTTCCGTCAGCAAGTGATCCTTCAAGGTTGCAAACGCGTATACGACGTGAGTACACAGAGTTGGATCAATGTCCTCAGGCATAAATCTTCCAGTTCCAGGACGCTTGTGAGACCAGTTTGTCATGTAACAAATTGTCTGGGGTTCCCTCTCTGCAAACATTCAATCTCAATTGTCTGATTTTTCAAATTCAAATAATTGAATACTCGACTAGACTTAAACAACTTCCAAAAGCATTCACGGTAAATCCACAGTATAGCCTTTACAAAATTTAACTGACTGTCAACCTATTTTATTTAAATTTTACCTAAGGCATATTCAGTTCCCGGATAAAAGAGAAATTGTAATCGGAATATTTTTTTCAAATTTTCAAAAAATTTTTGGAAATTTTTTCAGTAAAAATTATATTCCCAAAAATTTCTAGAAAATTATAAAAATCAATTTCCGAAACAAATTTTTGATAATTTTTTCAAAACATTTTCCCAAAATACAATTATTTTGTATCCCCATTTTTTTTTTGTAGAAAAAAAAAATTCTCTGAAAAATTTTCCCGAAATATTTCGAAAATTTGGAAAAAATTTTCCGATTACAATTTTTTTTACCCGTGTACATTTACCCTATTTATTACCTCGTGAGGGTGTATTGATGACGAGTGTTGTCGTTGGCTTGGTAATTTTCTTGGCTTTGCTAAGTACTTCTGAAACAGATATTTTGTACGGCTCGGGTTTCTTGACGACGACTTCACTGACAGTAGCAGCTACAGCACTCCAATCAACATCTTTGGCATTGCTACCCCTTGACACACCCCTGAGTTCCTCTCGCATAGCACCAATCAGTGGATATCTAACATTCCCCGGGCATACTGTGCCATTGAAATCATCCATATCTACTGTCCATACCATAGCACCACCGTAACCCTTGCCCTTCAACCACGACATTTTATTCCTAATAGACCTCTCGTCATCAAAACCAACCCATTGATCACCATGCACCAGGTACGGTACTTTCATCTCATCGTCCCACACATAGGCTGCCCCATTTTGCAACATCTCGCATATCTGCACAAAAAATGAGAAAACCAGTTCAATCAGCATTGGCTAAATGGGAAAAATGTCATAATGAAAATAAGGGAATCGATGACAAATTTCTCATTCACTCAATTGGCTTTGATGTAATAATTCCGGCGAGGTAAACACACCCGACAAATTCCTTTAGGCAACCTCCCATCTCAAGTGTTTGCACATCATTTACATAACGCCCGGGTCTGCATTGGTGTTGGCCGGAGACTGATGTAACGATTTCGTGAATATTATAAAATGTTTTCACTCGACCTTTCTCCTTCACCTCATAATTCATCTATCTCATTAATTTTCGAACATCATTGAAAATTGAGAGGGGAATTGAGGGAAGGGTGCATTAGAAAATTATCGGATTTATTTAAATTTTTGGTGAAATTTACTGAGAATTTCGTGAGCCTTTGAAAAACGGTATATTTTTTTAAATTAAACCAACAGATATCGGCAATAACTCCTCAACGAATTTTAACCGCCGCTGAAAAAAACGAGAAGTAGTAGATACAGTACCTCATAGTACGCCAAAAATCCGGACTCTTTGGTGTACTCTCCAGCTTTTCCACCGCCACTAGCAGCGGCATGAACCCGAAAATTATCAGGATTGGAGAGTGTAAAGGATCGTCCATAGGTAGGCATACCAATAATCAATTTCTCTTTCGGTGTACCAAGCCTAACCCATATAGATGCGGCATTATCAACGCTGAGCTGTTTCTGCCACTCAGAATCCAAAGATGATGGGTAAAGTGGTGCATTGTGGCCAGTCTCACGTTCCCATTTCCCATGAAAATCGTACGCCATGAGATTAACAAAATCCAGGTAACTGAATAATTAATAACAATTAATTACCGAATATTGCATTGCACTCTGGAGAAATATCTGTTTACGTATGTCGCGTCTGACTGATGCTAACATTTCTACTTGCTATTGTGGTATACGAAATGTATACATATATTATGTACATGAGATTTGGAATACCGTCAGTGGACAAGCATAAACTTCATCAATTAACGATTCCGCATAGTTCAAATCGATGCCACTATGTTTCGATGTTTGATTTATCAGGTTTGACAGAGTGGTATTGGTCTAATTAGTATTGGTGATTTACCTTGCTACTGCTGGTACATCGTATCCGCTCTTGATGTTATCTGGACCAACTGGAACAGCTGCGGTCAACAACAGCCGCGGCATCTTTTTCTCCTGAGCTTCGGCCTCAAAAGCCTCTCGCAACTCTATTTTTTATATATATATATATTTTTTTTTAATGATGATTGAACTCTCCGTTAATTTGATCTCCACTTCGTTTTCAATTCGTTATTAGTCAGTATTAAATATGTTTGGAATGATTAATTATCGGAGGCTGGATTGTAAACCCATCAAAATCAAATTTGTCAATTGAGGGTGACTGGCGTAATGGAATCGCTAATTAATCATGCAGGTTTGATTAGGGGCCTGAGGGCCAGTGGCATGGGTTTTTCATGATAAAGGGTGATGGTTTACCTTTCAGTAACAGAACATAGTTTTTCTTGTCATCACCACCCTTAGGATACTCCCAGTCGATGTCGAGACCATCAAAGTCTCTGTCACGTAGATATGGGATTGCACTGTAGATAAATGTCTGTCGGGCGTATCTCGTTGATGACATGTCTTTAAACTTTTGGGTCCCGAATGACCATCCACCTGGGGTAAACCATTTCGATTTAACTGAGCCTTTTTTTTTATTTTAATGGAGAACGCATTCCCTTCATTGGACTTGAAAATCATTTTTTTTAATGTCTGTTATACCCCCTGAATTTAAAAAATTTGGGTATTCAAAAAAAAGATGGAGGTAATCGAAAGAGACAACAGAAAATCCCTGAGATTTTGTTGTACTCATTTTTTTAACCTTGGCAATTAATTAGTAATCATTGGACAAGTGCAATTTTAATTTATCCGATGATAAAATGTGTTTTTTTTTTTATTTCATCGTATTATTTTAATATATCACAGCGCTAGGTCATTTCAGGGAGAGAATTTATCGATAAACGGTTGTGAAATCTTGACAGCTAATGAATTTTTAATTTTCGTATAAAAATTATCAACTCTTTATGCGAAAATAATGAAAGAAAAATGATAATACAAACCAATGGCAAGTAGAATTTTCAATGATGGATTTGCCTTTTTGAGAGATCCCATTCTCTCGTAGAGTCCAATTTTTCCATCCTTGGTTTCATCGTTGGATTCGAAGCTAGTGAGTTTGTTCTTCTTGAGCCAGCCGAATGCAAAAATAATGTGGGTACATAAATCAGGATGAATATCCTCAGGCATGAATTTTCCAATCTTCGTGCGGTACTGAGACCAATTTGTGTAGTAGCACACGATCTACGAGAAATATAACACGAGAATATCAGATAATTGAAGATCTAGACAAAAATAAAGTAGAGGAATTCGTGCTAATGGATTATCGTCTACCAATAATTAATTATCAGCCAGAACTAATGCAACTGATCACGTTATGCGTGACTCATTGAGTCTTCAATGCCTCTCTATCAATATCACTAACACGCAATCTGGCTCTTTGACATTTTAAACACCAGTTTTCTCTCCTGGTTTGTGAATTTTAACATTCCGATTATAATCTAAGCAGTTATCGTCATAGAGAAAAAATGCGGAGATAAATAAAAGGGAAAAATAATAGAGATAACTGGGTAGAGTCCACTCCAATGAGAACAATTTAGCAAATGCCATTTTTATGCAATTATTAGCAATCGGATTAAAATTATCATGGCACGCATTAATTGAAGATTAATATGATGATTCTGAAAGATGCAAGTGCTATTACGAAAAAGAATTTCATTTCGCTTTGAGTTCTCAGTTAGAAATAATTCTTATTGAATTTCCAATTATGGAAAAATCATGGAATTTTTTCAATTTATTTATTTCCCAAATTGTTCAACTCACACGAAAGTATGAATTAATTAGTATTAATAAACTCATGCTTCGGGATATTTTTTCACTCCGTAGATTAAAAACAAAGAAAATTGACAATTATATTCGAGAGTGCAGAAATGAAGAACAAAAAAATGAAGAAATTACGTAATACACGAGCATAAGTTGTGAGGAGAAGTTAAATAACAAATTGCATCCCTAAATGACGTAAAACAAAAGGAAATGAAAAGTAATTATGAAAGAGTAGAGTGGAATAAATAGTCCGGCGATTTGATGCCTTATCAAGAAAATATCATGAACTTTGGCAGATTAAATCCAATCTAGTTTTACGTCGTGGGGTGAAGGTATGAAAAGTCGACGTTTTACTCTTTCTCTCAACCTTCTTTGATGTCTTTCTTTGATCGTTCTACCTTATAATCATTTGGCTTGGTGCTGGTGCTGCTTCCACTGCTCGACTGGAGTTCATTCTTTGTGTGCTTTGTACCCAGACGATTTCGCGTCACTTTGAATCTGTTTACGCTAGCTGAGACCTCTTGATCGTTACTCAAGGATGGTGATGATGTCGTTGGCCTCCGGAAACGCTTCCTCGCCCCTGGTTCCGTGAAAATTTAGTAATGAAGAAGTTTTCAAATGATTAACGAGAAAATCGTGGGATTAAATTGTTGGGGATTTCCCCTTTTTTATCCCCAATTTTTTTCACCCGATATTTTGGAAAAGACAATCCCGTCGATAATTGGCCAGATTATTTTTTTTACGATGGGTTTTAATTTTATTTTATTTTTTTAATTGTCGATCGAATTGACGCGAAAAAATATTTTTATCATTTTATCATTTATTTATTATTTCATGACTGTAATGATCCTGCAATAATAATAAAATGCAAAAATTTTGTATTTTTTAATGTCAATTCTATCGATAATTAAAAAAAAAAAAATTAAAAATGGAATTTTGGCCGGGTGCCGAACATCGTTAAGGGAATTTATTCGATAGCAGTGAATCCTTTCAAGGATTAATTTTTTTTCCTGTTGGAGAGGAGCATCAGTGGACCCCTCGGTACTATCCGTTGGGTATTGCCTCACCTGACAAAACAAATACGGTTATGGCAATATAAATCCTTGGTATAATTCGCAGAAGGCGATGGTTTATGCGTTACTTTGGGATTTTTCCAGTGAATTTTTTTCTTTTTTCATTCGCCCCTTTTTTTCCGTTCAATTTTTTATTCCTCCACCTCGGGGTGTAAAACTACATCGATGGTGTGGGCACCCTGCAAATCTCGATCATAAAACTTAGATGGCTGTATGTATGGAATCGAGTATATATGGAGTTTGTAGCACAATGTGAATGGCGTCTTAACAGTTTTTATGATGAGGGTTTTACAAGGATCAGAGGAGCACTGAGTGGCATTGTCAACGTGTGAATCATGTCTATAAAAGAGAAAATAACTTTTTCATTGTGGTGCGATAAAATTATTCGGCTTTTTTCCCATTTTTCATCGGTTTTTCGTTAATTTTCCGGAATAAATTTAGTGTGATGAATTTTATGAGCATTCAATTCAATCATTTCAGCTGTAGTGAAGACACAGAAGGTATGAAATCATGTTTTCATGGGGTTGTACATCAATTGAATGAATTAATTGTACCAGTAGAGGTTTCTGGTCATATCAGTGATAATTCCGGGAGTTACTCTGTCCCACCTGGGGAATTTTTATTTAATATTAGGAGGAAATTTATTTATTTTCGGGAATATCTTGAATATTCAGCAATTGACAAAATAATTACTCAATCGATTATTTAATCATTACGTAATCACAAGGGGATTTGTCAAGGCATCACAAGGGTTTCCAGATTTTCAGAATATTCCCCGATAGCTTTATTGCGAATAAATCGACATGCCAAATTTTACAGGGAAAAAAATGGCAGTGCATAGAACGAGTGGAGGCAGAATATTCTGATTAATTTTCAATGTTTGAAGTATATCCACCGGTTTATTTTCCACAGCCGAATTTCGGTCAAGCACATCGTATGCATTCGAGATCATAATTACCATCGAAATATTTAATTGGCTAGAAATGAATGAAGAACCATTATGTAATTATCCTATACAATTTTCAAAAGCTGGTATTCAATTACCGGAAAATTTGTAGCGAATGGATATCATGACGGAAAATAATGAGAAATGACGGCCATTCAGGTAAAATGGGCACCAACGAAAAAGTGTTCCCTTCTCAATTTTGGAGTTTTTTATTTTTTCATTAAATTTTTTTTTCAATTTTTAAAACATTTTTTAATTTTTGAAAAATAAAAAAATTTAACAAAAACAAAAAAATCGTTTCGATATTATTTTGCATTTCTTTGCATTTTTAAATTGAATGTAATTTACCTATTGATTTAAAATTTAAAAATGATGTTGATAATATTCCCTATGCATTCTAGATTCTCGAATTAGAAAAAAAATGGAAAAATACTAGCCGGTGGTTCTCGAGCTATTGAAGCCTTTTTGTCCGGCTCTCCACTATCCATGCATTCATGCACCACACAATAGCCTATCCTGCTTTCGATATTTGCACAGATAATATCCCTCTGTCTATCTCCACTTTCTCCAATAAAAAAAAAGTTTAAATACGCCTTTTGTTGCCTGAATTTTCCCTACACGCGAGCGTACATTTTATAAATTGCGTAAAATCCGAGGATTCTAGGAAAACTTCAACATTAATGCATCATATTTTAATTCACGAGATAAATTCCAAGCTAAATCTTTTTTAATTTCCATACATTACACATTACCAATTATTCAACTCTCTGCGCCTCATCATCCTATATCCAGCCACCCCGGTATTCGGTAGATTATAAATTAACACTCCTCCCATCTTAATGACCCAATTAACTAGAAAAATCTATGAAAATTAAGGAAGTGTACATTGTGAAAGCACTGACGTAATGAGCTAATATGCATTACCTTCTGCATGATTCACTATTCCTAGGAGGAGAAAAATCAGGCAGATAAGGGCAGCTGTTCTCGTTGCTGTACGGATTGACACCTAGAATCAGAAAGAAATTTCAAATTTCTACATAATCCCCCATTGTCACAATTTTTTTCCACAAAGCCCAAAAATATAAATCCAAATATATAAAAATAACATTCCTACAACGACTTTACGTGCAAAATCTTTTTTTGCGGTAATAAAAAATTGGTTTGAAAAGTTCTTGAAAAAAGAGTACCCCAAAAATGTCCAGTGAAAATAAAAACTGAGAAGATATCGGCAATAACTTCCAGAAATTCAATTGAGACTCGCATAATCGCGATAACTTTACGACCAAAATGTCAATGAATAGCTAAAAGTTTCCGGATGAACGAGTGGCTAGTAATTTATCACCGAATATCAGAAGAAAATCTTAAGACAACGAAAAAGAGAAAAAAAAAAATCGAAATGAATAGAAAAAGAAACGCGAGGAGAATTACCGAGAGGAGAAGGTAGAAAAAAAGTCGAGACGGCGGTGAAATAAAAAATATAAAAGAGAGAAATAGAATAGGGAGTTGAATTGTTGGGCGGGGGAGGAGGAACAGCCGGGAGTTTTCCACTCGAACGAGTATCAAGCGTAAAACTATAAATGGGGGAAAGTCTCTCTCTTCTCTCTTCCTCTCGAAAGCGTCTTGCGGTTCCTTTTCCCCGACATCGGCAAATTGCTCCTTTTTTTTTTAATACCCACGACTATATCGAAGCGAATGATAGTGTACGCGTTATACCGCGGGCTTATAATCCAATCACGATTCACGTTGGTCTGCCCTCCAATTCTCCTTTTTTCCGATTCCATTCCTTGTTTATTACTCCAGTCAATGGCTCCAGTGTCATCTTATTGTCAATTTAAAGACTGCAGACACTGGGAATGAGGTAATTCACCGATACCCGGTGAACCTATTGATTGTATTATCGAGTTGTTATTGGTAATAAAGGTTTATCGATTTTTTATCGGGTGGCGAATGACGACCAATGAATTTTGGCTTTATTTTTTTTTCGATAATTGCCACCTCTGCTATTAAGCGGGAAATTAATTTAACATTGCGACTGTTGTAGTCTTATCGGAAGCTCATCAGGATCTCGTCTTTTCGGAGACTATTTTATAATTTAAGGTGTGAATTATTCATTTAATTTAGTCTTCTATCGGATTAATGCACCTGGTTTTGTGTTTTATGGTTGACTTTTCGTTTATAGCCCATTCTATGTGCAGACGAGATTAGTACTAAGATGATAATTTATTTTGGGTCTCATTTATTTTTTATATTTTCTGTCAAATCTGTATTCAAACACTTTTAGGGGAGATGAATTAATTATTTTTTAGATATCTTTCATGGGTATGACCCGGGTTAAAAGAAAATCGTAATCGGAATATTTTTTCCAAATTTTCAAAAAAATTTCTGGAAAACTTTTCAGATAATTTTTTTTATGAAAAAAAAATCGGAAAGCCAATAATTTTGTTTTTGGAAAAGGTTTTGAAAAGTTTTTCAAAAATTTGAATAGGACATTTTTTTTATAATTTAGATAGCGTATTTTTCGAGAATATCAAAAAAACAAAATTTCTACAAAATTATTTAAAAAAATTTCCGAAATAAATTTTTGAAAATTTTTTCAAAACATTTCCCAAAGACACAATTGTTGGGTTTCCTGATAATTTTCTGGAAAGTTTTTCAGAAATTTTTTTAAAATTGGGAAAAAATATTTCAATTACAATTTTTTTACGAAATGATGGGAATGGTGGGTACGGACGAATAAAAGAGTGGATTTTTTCGCGTGGATTTTTTCGTAATTCGGAGTATCCGATGGTGGTCATCTCGGCGAAGAAGTCAATCTAGATTGAGTGTCGTGATCGCTCTCCCTTTTCCACCCAATAAACGCCCCCATCAGTCAAGGTTTTCCACGAACTTCTTGGATCACCAGAAAAGACTACAACGACTGGTAAATTCAATGTGGTTAAAAAAAAAATCCTCATGACTCAATATGACTCATGACTCATGACTCGTGAAACAATAATAATTAAAAAAGCGAATTAATATTTGGCAGCAAAAAAATTTTCGGTGTCTGACCGAATGAAATTTGTAACGACTCGACCATGATGTTTCTATTTTTTGTTAAAATGAACTAGAGCACTTTACATTAAAAAATTCATCGATTGCGAGTTACAAATTCAGCGAAAGTACCTCACGCTCATTTAATTTGATAAATTCTATTAAATTCCAATGGAAATATCCGAACCAGTCTCCAGAGGGTATTCAACTGGGGTAAAAAATTCAGCAACAAAAACCAAACTCTGGAAAGTTCAATGAGCAGTTGAACAAATCGAACTAATGCAACAATGCATTTCTCCCTGGGACTGAACTGGAAAATAATGAATGAGAAAGCACTGAAGTATGAATTAAAAAAAAAAGAAGAGACTTCATTACAAAAAGAGTGTCTGAGGAGTAGAGGAAGAATGCTGGAAAAAAATGAGTAGGGGAATGAGAAAAAAGAAGGATTGGGTTCCAATTATGTGAGTCACGTCTCTATCTATTCTCCAATTAAATCATCTCATTAAATCACCGGGACACATCCCAAGCTAATGAAAAGCTTCGCACTTTATCGTCAGTTTCTATGGGCCGAGATGAACAATGAGGAAGATAAGTAATCAAAGGAACTGAAAATAAATCTCCAGAGTATCAATAGACATAATCCGATTACCTCCACCGAAACTAAATCGAAAAAAATCTTTCAACTTGATACCACCAAGGGGGTGGTACGAAAGTAACTCATAAAGAAAGCTGAAATATAAGGAGAGACTCGATATTTAGCCGATTATCACTTTTTTCTCATTTTTTGTTACAAATTATTAAAGAGAATTACCTCCAGAGGCGATGGCTGTTGTAGAATAATAAGGGCACGTTAAGTAACGGAAATAAAGAGTTTATGACGAATTTAACTGACGAATTTATTGATGAATTCCCGTCTAAATATTCCAGAGCTTTCATAAAATGAGAAAGAAAAATTTCACATTCATTCTGCAAATCCCAATGCAAATTTTTTATTGTTGAATTTCCTGACACTCATTTAGAGTGACTTAAAAAAGAAACCTGCAAAAAAAATGTTCTCTTTTTAGCGTAACATAATTAAAGATACCTCGACATGAACTTCTCAAGCAAAACTGAAATCTCATGAGTAAATAAAAAAATTAAAATCCCCCATCCGTCCTCTGCAGCATAAAAAAAAAAATCAATTGCATCGACCGTAAAAACGCCGAATAATTCAGAGTTATTTCCAGAATTATCCCGCGAAAAAAAATGAGAGACAGAGAGAGAGATGAAAGAAGAAAAGTGGATTGTGATCCAATGGTACACCACCATACCTAAAAAGACGGTCTGGATATTTAGTGCTGTCTAAAAAACAAACACCGATGTGACAGACGAGGGAAGGGTGCCCTGAAGAAGACGCAGACTGTTTCGTTTAATATAGACAAGGTATGAGAGGTATGAGTGGAGAACGCGAGGCTCATTATTTTTCCTGTGATATGTATGTCGTGTGGGGTTGGTTTCCACTGGAGAGGGTTGTTTATAGGGTGAGAGGGGGAAGTAAAGGGAGGCTGGTTTTACCTTCTAAATGGAGGGAAGACTACCACACCGTTAAATATAAACGCTGATTGCATCGACGGGTAGTATGCCTGGATATTGCCTGTCTCCATCTTGTTCCATCAACTATTGTGTTACGCTAGGCTACAGTGGATGCTGGAAGCCTAGTAATTATACCCTCACCCACTCACCCAGGATACGACTGAGTAGAAGGTACTGGTGTACTGTACCACGCGTATCCCATCATCTCCACCTAAATACCTAAATAGACGCACTTGAGACTAATTTGTCATTTGCATCTCCATCACAATAGGTACAGTCTACTAATTATGTTTTATGAGAATTATATTGGTATTACCCGGCAAACAATTATCGGCAAATTCTATTCAATTTGTTCGGCAATATCGAATACAAATTAATTGAAACCTGTTGTATGTAGAGTGGCGTACACCATTCGGGTGGATTTGTTTTGGAAAAGAGATTTTTTTTTTTACAGTCGGTCGATTCTATCGATAAACTGAGGTTGATTTTCAACAGACTCGCTGTTCTCATGCGCCAATTACTGGAGAATTTTATTTTTCATTCTGTATTTCTCTTTGCGCCTGTGGACGTGTTATTGGGGTTTTTGCCAATTTTTCTCTCTCTTCAATTTATTAAAATTCAGTTGTGGCGGAGGATAAGTCAGGAATGCGAGTAACCTTACTCGGTACTTTATATCTTGGCTAATCTACATTTTATTGCGTTTGTTATGCAAGAAATGCTGGAAAGGAGTTACAGATCGAGGAGTACTCCGAGTCAAGTGCCGTAGGATATGACTGGGAAGGCCAGTGATCTCAATAATTAGGTCAGCCAGTTTTGCATCACTTGCCCAGGCTCTTTTATTACTTCGCGGAATGCCTTATTTTTTAATATTACGGAGCTTCTCATTTGACATTCTTTGCATAAAGACACAAAGCGGCTAACATATTAACAAAAATATGAACCAACCATAATTATTTAAAAAGTAGTAAAAAAAAATGTTTCGAATGTTGAGAGCAGGAAAAATAAATAAATTATTATCTTCTTAGAATTAAAACAAATAATGGCAAACATAGAAAATGAAAAAAATCCAAAAGCATTGAAAATCATTTATTTTCTCAAAAAAATGGATAATTAAATTAAATTAAATTAAATTAAAATTTTCGTATGTCGAAAAATATTTTTGATAACAAATTTTTCATGAATTAAATATTTATTTATTCTTTAAAAAATGTATTCCTACCCCTCCAATTGAAATAAAAACATCTCCCGCGCTTTCATACATATTTAGATATTTACATAAACTTCCACATACTTTTTTTCAGGCACTAGTGATTTTAATCGCCACTCATCCCAGATACTCATCTCTGACTTCTCATATTTATACACCACCAACTCAAACTCTGTTATACCATATGTTATATCATT